CGTTTTGCTACCCCGCGCGCCGGGTCCCCTTACATCAATACCAGTTCGCATATAATACAAAATACACGAAACGCACGACGACGGACGACGCACATATTTTAGACATGTGCACGGGCACGAATACAATGCGCGACGGTGCAGGAAAATACAATGACGCGTCTTCGTCGTATTGTAATGTTCGGGTGTTGCGGGCGAGGTATGCGGTACGGTACGCGCGACGGCGATTTCGATTCGGGCAACGCGGCCTCGGCCGAAGAACCGGACGGGACCGTCGAACAGCGGCAGGTACCTCTGCCCGTGTAGCTCGGTCCCTCGCGCGTCCCTACCCGTTTCGCTATACCGAACCCGCGCGTTTCGTTATTGCCCGGCCGTCGCGCCATCGTCACGATGACCTTCCGCGTACGACGAGAGAGAGAGAGAGCGAGAGAGAAAAAAAAAAAATGAAAAATGCAACCCCCGAACCCCCGGCGCGTTAACAATAATACGAATTCTACGCCCGGTGCGTTTGTGCGCGTCTCCTCTGCACGCTCTCTCTCACAATCTCACTCGCTCTCTCTCTCTCTCTCTCTCTCTCTCCGGGTCCGGCTATATAGGTACGCGGGCGGTGCCGTACGAGTACAGTGGCGTTTCGGAACCGCGCGGAAACCGGTCGAAGAGCGAGTCTTGCGGACTAGAAGAACGACGAAAACCGTCACCGGGGTACGTATATAATAGTGTTGCCGTCACGACATGTATTTTTCCGGAGTCGTTTCGTTTTGATTCCGATCGTTCGCGCCGCGAACGCATCAATAAATATTGTACAAGGTATGGTAATATTCGATTTTTTTTTTTTCTGCAATTTCGACGTACGCGCGGACGGGCGCCTGTAATAATATGTCCGTATGCGCCGTCGGTTCTCAGCGACATTATTGTGGTGCCGTCGACTGTTAGTATAATTCTTAGTGACACGTATTTATGCGATACTCGTATCGCGGTTTTAGATTGTGACTAGAATTTATACTACCAATTGACGGTTCTTCGGACGATCTTCGATTGGGCGGTGATTCCGGTACCGGCGCAATAATACCTATATGTTATTTATTATCTTATATAATATAGTATTTAATAAGAAATTTAAGTTTTTTTTTTTCTTTGTTAATTATTTATTAAACTCTGTATAAGTAGGTATCGCGTAAACAATCGATCGAAACTCTTATTTGTACATGTTATACGTTTTTTTTTTTTTTTTTTATATAAAAATACCCACCATTTTCGAATTATATATAGCCGACCACCTGCAATCGTCCGTTTCATTGTTGTCGAATACCTACAGCAGCGATAGCTATGTGTAATCATTCGGGTAGATTAAATATCTTTTGCTAGTGAAATATAAAATATATGCTAAAGATGTTTACTACTCTATGATGCATCATGCAAACGACGGGGACTGTAGTGCCGAAGAAACTCGCCGACGCGCGCACGACACGCAGGGTTTAGTAATCTTTGGGATTTTAGGGAGCTGGTTAATTATAATGCCGTGCGCAACTACCTGCTGCCTTAAATTTCAAAATACTAATCTTTGATAATCTACGTTTTTGCACGCACGCCTTATCCGTTTTGGACGAATCTTAGTCGTACAACGTATTATTAACATTTATATGTGTATAACAAATTATATTTTCTATAAGCCTGTCTTTCAGAACAAGATACTATGTTTTAAAATTGTATTAGGCATCTAAAGATAATAGTATACGTTAATGTGATTGTTGCCGAAGAGTGTTTTCGTAAGATTACTTTAAAAAAAAAAAAATTATATTTTCCCCTAATTACGTAGCATACAAATCAAATCGATTTTTATCTAGATTCATAAAATAACGGACTTTTATTTCGAATTATATTTTATTGTATTTTACTCGTAATATTTATTTACTATTTTTGTATAAGTTCCATGTTGGTATTTAATGTGATATACGTATATGGGTCATTTACAATTTGTTATAAGTCTAGGTAACTTATTCACTGTGTGAGTGTTTTATTTGATTGATCACACAGTAGAATTAGGTACCATGAGGTATGACAAAAAGAACACCAACCTATACGTATAGGTATACGAATAAGTTAAAATATATTTAAGCAGCTTCTTATTATTATTATTTAAAAAATTATCAGCGGTCACAGTTCATTGAGTTAAATTATAGCCTATAGATAAGCATAGGTACTAAGTAAGTAGTAAGGTATTAAATAAAAAAAACCAAAATAATAATATAATCAGAGAATTAGTATAGTCACATAATATACATGTTGATGATAGATGTTACATGTTTAGATAGATGTAAAAATATTTTATACGTCATATATTTATATATTTTAATACTATAATAGTATAATACTTTTAAATAATTTTAATAAATTTAGTATCTAAGGTCCAGCCTACGACTTATTAAGATTGTATTTAAAAAAAAGAAAATGAAGAGTTTGAATAAATAATTCCTTAAGTCTAGAATCACTATTAATATGTGGAGTATCTCAAAGTACTAACCTCTCTCCTACCCTATTTAATATACAAACTAACCAAATAAACGATCTAAAGATGCATTATTAAATTTAGATAAAACTTATTTATTACACTATATATTTAATTCAAACTAACCAGATATAATCAGCCTGTGTATTCACGAACACGACTGCTCAAATCTGATATCTTGTACATGTCGAACTTCATTAAAAATAGTAAAATCTTGTAAATACTTAGACATTGAAATGTGCCATAACCTCAAATGGCATGACCACATTTAACAGACAACAATAAAACTAAGAAAAATAATCTATGCTTTCAAAAATTTAACTAATGAACTTGAAATTAAGAAAATTAGAATTATGTACCAAGTTTTAATAGAATCCATAATTAACTATGGTATTACTATTTTGGGAGGTGCCTACGATACAACATTAAATCCATTAAAAATGATATAAAATAGAATAATAAAAATTATTTTAAAAAAGAATCATTTGTATAGCACTGAATATCTGTACAAAGAATTAAATGTTCTATTATCAAAAAAACTGTTTCATAAAGCATTAGTAATTTATATAATTAAAAATAACCTAACATCTAGTTTTGATTATACACATAACACAAGACAATTATCAAACATTACTGTTTCCTTAATGCACAGAAAACTAACTCAATCTACTTACTTATATTAGGACACAAAATATATAATAAACTTATATTAAACTTATTTACTTCATAACATAATATTGATAACACAGCAAATAGACTGATAATTATAGTTATTTATTATTTATATTATATTGATTATATTATCATTTTGTTTTTTTTTTTTTTTTTACAGAAACATTACATTTGCCTTTTATAGACGTGATAATTTTTAAAACATTCGAACTATTTTTAAGCTATTAGAGATTTTAATTTTGCGAGTTTTTTTACGCAATATTTATTTAATAGATACCCAGAGAATAAAATTGTTAGACCAAACAGGTTCATTATAAGTTGTATTTAGTGGTCAACAAGAAAAAGTCGATCTTAATATAATATATTTTTTATTTTGTATGTATTTTATGGCCTTTGCGTACATATTATATACTTTAAATTACCCACTATATACTATATACCTACCTTACCAACTTCTCACCTACAACAGTGGTCCATCAATCGCGCGAAGTATGTCCCTCTTTTTTTGTTGTAATTTTATTATATTAATATTTTCAATTTTATTTTTTTAATTTAATTTTTGTTTTAATAATTTAACACAACGTTCTGTGTAAGTTAAATGTAATGTATACAAAAAAAAAAAAATTGAGTTTAAGTAGAGTTGAAGTAGTTTTATTTTTGAACTTTGAAGTTCAAATTTTGACCTAAACATAAAAATTACAGTATTTCAAATTATTAATCAAACATAACTTCGCTTATAGAATCGTATTTTATCAGCAATAGTTGCTTACAGATTAAAATCGAAAAACTATTTATCCTACCTACATTCCCAAATTTCCACCTACACCAGTATAGCACATCCATCAACAATATCAACTTTTTTTTTAAGTCCTTTTAGTTAGTGACATACCCAGGGGGTACATTACTGTTAGTTACTATATGTTTGTTTAAGTATTAACAATTTTAAATCGGCTGATTTTTTTTTAACGATCTTTGCACGTAGGTACTCGTAAACATAAAATATTGGGATATTTTACTATAATGTTTTGAAATGAATAAATTTAGGTGTAACTAAATGTGTGAATATATATTTACCAATTGTCATCGTACAATTGTTTTTATGACGTACACGGTAATTGTGACTAATAATTTTTTGAGAGTGACTTTTTTACCGATGTCTTTTTATAATTTATTCTGTGCTTTTTTTTTGTAATTTGATTGGGTTGTGTATGAATAAAACTGTAACTAGGTTGGTATATATTTCAAAAAATAACCGTCTGAAGGACGGTCATTCTGAAGAAAAACGTACATCAACACGTGTGACCCATTTCGTTTTTACTTGCACCATAATAATAATAAAATATTCACTAGTTATTACGATCTTTATTCTTAGACAAATTACTTTTCAAAAGTAGTAACTCGTTAAAATTTTACTAATATTACCTATCTAATACTCATTATACCTTTCTACCAATTAATTTCATTCAACCATTGAGTACCAGAAATAATACCTATTTGAAAAAAAAAATGTATGTTGAATTATAAAGCAAAAATTATATTAATTTTTCTACTAACCAAAAAAAAATTTTATTAAAAAATACCATTTTATAATTTATACTTAAAAAATAATCTATAATAATGAAACAATATTTTTTTTATTTTTTTTTTATTTAGTATGTTGACGTGTTAATTAAATGTAAAATAATTGTATTTAATTAATATCGTTTAGTATGGCAAAATAATTAGGTGGGTAATACACGATAAAGTAAATATTTATTTTTCAAAACAAATACAAAATTTATAAAATTCCATCTGTTTAAACTAAAAATTTAATTTTCGTTTTATTACAACATTGGTTCATATTAATTACCTATACAACTGTTCAAACTCTACTATTTTATTATTATTACAATTTAATAATATTACAATTAATGTAATATGGATACCTAATTCAATTGAATTTCAATCGAAATAACGCTATTTTCAGAAGTGTCATTAAAGAAACCGTAATAATGGCGAATCGGCCATCAATGTGTTTGATAGTTTTGTTTGCCGCCGTTGGAAAATTTCACGTTGTAGTGTCTGATGGTCCTGAGATGAACACGCCGCCAATAACCAGTTTTCCAACAATAATAACACCATTAGCACCACCGCCAGCCGACGTTTGTTCCACACAGGATTCAAAAGTAATGTATTTTTATTTTAGTACAAAATTATATTTTTGAAACGCCTTTATACATAAGTATTGCTATTCTGGAAATCATTGCAGTACCTTAGGTAGATATGTTTTTCAATCACGTCCAAGATAAAAATAAAACAAAGGGTCTTGATATTTTAGATTCTGAGTGGAGCGAAGAAGCTTTTGATTTACAAATATGTTTATTTATTTTTTTTATATGTGTGCAACTTTTCTACCAGAAGGATTTCTACGTGTAGCACCTTTTCTGAAAGGAAATCGGCGTGGGGAGGTCTTTTTTCAATTTTCTCTGAATTTTATCTTCAAATTTGAAAACAAGAAAAATCGGGAAAATTTACAAAATATAATAATTATAATCTTACAATTATGTTTTCAATAATTCAATTTTGCTCCTACTTTTAATGAAACAAAGTTTCTGAAAGGAAATTTCATTGGGGAGGTACTTTATGGAGGTCATTTTTCGAGTTCCCTAAGAGTTTTCTAGTAATTGTGAAAAATCGATACAATATTAAATAAATAAAGAAATATTTAATGCCTATTTAATTATTTTATCATAATATGACATATAATATATTGTTGACAAAGCATCACTATCAACTGAACTCAGCTCAGAATGTTTTTTTCGTAAGCAACGGTTTATCGTTGCTTACAGATATACATTAAATTCCCGTCTATGTCCTACCTTCCAAACTTCGCACCAACACCAGTGGTTGCACCTGTCCCCGCTATCTTACCTTTTTTTTTTTTAGATCTGTCCCAATGGCAAATGGTATGCAGTTATGGCAACAGAGGTCAGCAGTAATGATCCTTGTAATATTGTGACAAGTACGATTTCTTTGGTTTATAATTCGTATGAACCATTTTTATGTATATATATATATATATAATATATTATATATTTACAACTTGGTTTTATTTTTTATAAATAACTTATTAAGGTCAAAAATATTATATACATTATACATATTTAGTAACATAGAATATAATAAGTTTTAACATAATATTATTATTTATTTAATGAGAAATACTCTACATTAAATTTTGATGGAAAATATCATTTTTACAAGATAAAATAATTTCTATAATAAATAATGTAATAAATAAATAAATAAATAATAGCATATTTTCTGAAAGAAAATGTTGTCTTGAGTAAAAAAGTCTTCGTTTGAGTTTCCCGTATATTTTTCTTAATAATTATGAAAAACTAGAAAAAAACGTTTTTGTTATTCAGTTAAAAATATTGTAGAGACCTGTAGTTTTCAAAAAACACTTATTTTGGCCAATTTGATATTTTCATGTTTTTATTTGGTATAAGTATCTGTTATTACAATTATATGACTTAAGAGAAATGCTTGAAAATTTAATTCAAGGTACATTATAAGTTTTACGTAGAGGTCTAAAAAAAAAATTGAGTTTACTGCATTAGTTATTTTTTCATGAGCGTTCTAATATCAAATTTTGACGAAAATCGTAAAAATTACTGCATTTCAAATTATGTCTTACCAAACTTCGCTCCGAATCATTTTTCTTTAGCAACACTTAATCTTCGTGTACAGATATAAATTAAATAACTATGTATCCTACCTACCTTACTTCCCACTCACAATAGCGGTTATACTCGTGTATTAGTTTTAAAATGATGGTTTTTTAATTTTTTTTTTATTTGGGCAATTTTTTGATTAGAAATTTCACTCCGATTTAAAATGATAACATTTTTTCTGAAAATAAATCTGGCTAAGAAAATATTTTAGGGAGGTCATTTTTTTGATTTTTCCAATAGAAAAAAACGTAGGAAAACGGGGAAATAGGTACAATATTAAACAAATATAATTAAAGAAAATATATAATGCATATATGTAATTATTTTACCATAATATGACATATATAAGATATTGTGGACAAAGCAACACTATCAACCGTGCTCAGAATCGTTCTTTTCGTTAGCAATGGTTAACCGTTGCGTATAGATATACATTAAATTTTTCCCCTACTATCTTCTCAACTTCTCACCTAGAGCAATGGCACATCCTGGTGTGAAGTATGTCCGTCTTTTTTTTTTCTATGTCATTTCCAAGTTTGATTTTAATCTAGGTAGAGTTACCATCTTTGTGTTTACCGATAGTTGTACTAATTAAAATTATAAACTTTCATACTACATATTTTTACTTAATTTATAATTTAATTATATAAAATTATGTTCGAATAACAAATATAAATGGATAAGAATTGATATTGAATATAAACATTATGTACACAAATTAAAACATTTTTTTTGTTTAACTATAGATAATAAAGCTCCGTGTAGTTGTACATCAATGGACATTCGTGAACTTGCAGACAGTAGCTGGGAAGTAATCGGTTCGTCAGAAAATATGGAGTATGTAGTTGTCTAAAGAGTTAAAATGTGATAAAAGAACTATTTATTGTATTAAAATTTATTTTATTTTTTAGCACTTTGGTATTAACAGCACATATGGGCGCTGCATCAGCAGAGACTCCAGATAATAAGGAATTAAATGGTTTCATTATCGGTCGTAAGTGATACGCAGTTTTATATTTTACAATATTATTTTATTAAAGTCTTAATTTTTTTACTTTATTTCCGGTAAAATGTATATAGATTATAATATAGCCTTGTATACATAGAAGTAATTTATTCCCATAATAACATTTCTCCCGATGTCTTTATTAAAACATTGGGATAAATAAATAATCGCGAGGTAATACAAATAATAAGTACTATCGTGGCGAAACTAAAATTAACTAAATAAGTCACGTTTAAAATTACAATATTATAACTCCCCCTCCCCCCGTAGGCTAAGATTTGATTGAATTTTAGGGGGTCTAAAATCACTAATCAATTTTAGTTGTAGTAATCAAAACACATCATCACTATTGTATTATAAATGTGTATTCGTTATCACACATAAAAACGTAATAAGCTGTAAAAAGTGATTCTAATTTCGGGGTCAATATCATTTTTAAAAGAAGGTTAGAAAAATAATTTTAAGTGGTTTATGGATAATTTTAAGGGGGGAAAGCCCCTCCCTCCTAATCGCAACTTATGACCAACCTTCGGTTGCTACACTATTTAATATTATTATAAATTTATATTTTCCATCAAAATATACATCAACAAAAAATAATTATTGCCATTTTATTATATGCTTGATACCAAATAAAATGTTAAAAATATACACATATTTTATAGAGGCTTCAGTACCAGCAACCGTATTAGAAGTATTCCCTCAAATCACTATTACACAAAACGTTAATGGATGTCCGAGTAAGTATTCGAAAGATTTTTATGAATAGAGTACAGATTTTAAAGCAATAAAAAACTAAAGAAAAGCACTAAAAAAAAAAAAGTATTAAAGCTGTATAACTCTTCCAAAAAAGCATTACAATTAATAATTTTTGGCATTTTATAAATGACGATCGGTAAGAATAACGAGCAATACAGTGTTACAAAAAAAACTAAACTGTAATTCTGAGTAAATATTTTTCAGAGCAAAAGCATACTTTTGTGTTTTTCGTCGTTTCAAGATAAATTGATAAATCTACTATATACCATACGATACGTGAATCACATTATTTAAATTACATCGATAAATATATCCATAAATCAAACATAATGAGATAAAATCAATTGAGCCAGTCATTAACATTGGAACACATATAATATAAAAATAAATATTAGCATTTCAAATACGATTATTTAGAACACATTTTGAAAATATAACTTAAAAGCAAAAAAAACTACCTAAAATACCCAAAAAAGCATTAATATACAAAATAATCAAAATGTCCTGCATTTTATTTTAAGTAGTATAAATTTAATTTGTAGTTGACATAGCTTCATTATAGAGCAATAGAAAAAAAAATGCCTTCAAAATCCGTACTCTAGTTATGATTTATGATTAATTTTTTTCCAAACAACACTCGGTTATTTCAATTTTAACAATTTAATTGCGTTAATTACCTATAATATGTTTTAGTGTTTACAAAATATCATCTGAGTATTATTGATTGGAATGCTGAAAACTTCTACATGATCACCCAACTTAAAACATGTACGTACCTACTTAATAATTTGTTAACGTTTATTTAGTTACCAAATTGTAGTTTAGCTATTATATTATAGTACATTTTGAGGGGGGCCTTAACACCTAATTCTATTGATTATATATAGTTAGTATTTACTTGATAAGAATTATTTCGGAGGGCTTGGTTAATTTTTTTTTCGAGGGGGGAGGAATCAAACCAATGTTATATTAAGTTAAACTGCCGACTTAATGAGCAGAATACATTTTGGTTACACAGTTGTTTGTTCATAAAAGTTTGTAGGTACCTATATTTTGAAATTATCTGTCTCTATTATTCGCTTTCTTTTTTCTCTTATATATGGATCACATCCTTGGTCCTTTATTAATTGTTGGATGTATAAGTGACGTATTTGAGGGGGGGGGGCGATTGGTAGATCGCCCCTCTTTGGAATTTTTTTGGCAATAATTTTTCAATCACAGCTATAGGCTATAGTCAATAAAATAATTTAGTATTTATTATTTCTTGGGTAATTTTATCAGCGTTACCAAAAAGTAGTGACAATATGACTTGGACAATTTTTTGTCTATAATACATAAAGGGATATCGATGTGAATGTCCAAACGTAATATAGTCATCATAGATTGGTTTGTAGAAGAAAAAAAGATTAATATTACTTTAGTATTAAAATATATACATATTATGAATATAATGTTACGGCCGTTACGGGTAAACGCCAAAATCATGCAAATTTCAAAAATGCCCGAGCAAAACGCGAAATGTCCACGATACTTGGGCAAAACGTCATATTTCGGACAAATCTATAATATATAGTATAGTGACCAACATCATTTGGGCAAAACTATAATGTCCATAAATTTCAATTTTTCATATTTCTGAGATTTGCCCGATTTCGGCTTTTGATCGTAACATCTTTATAACATCATATACATCTTTTTTCTTTCTTTTTGTTTTATATTATTAATTATTTCGATTTAGGTAACTGTTTTTAAAAAAATAATAATTATAAAAATACAATTCGTTGTTATTATTTTATTTTCAGCTAATGCTCCGGATCCATTTTACATCATCTGGTGTCGTAAAACGCATCCGGGCAAGGCGACTATATGGACCAGTATCTTGGAAGGCTTAAAAAAGCTCAATATAGACCCCCATTCGATGAGTTTCATTAAACAAGACAATTGTACTATTCCTACGTTGTTTCAATACGATGAAATGTTCTTCTGCTAATAGAAAAGACCGTGGAAGAGACCGAGATAATAATATATATTTAAAATAATAAAAAATGTAATACTTACCTAACTAATATATAAGTGTATAATAATAATACGTTTCAATACGTCCGATTTTTGTATATACAATATAATATCTAAATAGGTATAGATAGTTACAACATATTTCTGAGTTTGAATTTAAAGTTCAAACTTCATAATTATATTCGAGTTTTACCTTTCTATAGACTAATGCCAATTATTGGAATCAATTTATTCTCGTGTTACTAATTAAACATATTTTTTTAAAGTGAAATAAAATAAAAATGTATCAATCCGAAAAAACACATGGTTTTAAAATTATTAGTTGAATGGATGAATCAATATTGATGATGAAAGATGATTATAATGTATTTAAATACATAGAGGAATATTATAAAAATGGTGGTTACAGGTAGTTAATAATAATATTTTGTATAATAATATTAAGTTATGTTATAAAAATAATATTACATGCTATAAACGTATAATAAAATTTGTTTGATAAGAATAATTTGTGAGAAGTTATAAAATGCATTGTGTTATCAGTTCAAAAGAGGTATTGACTGATTTTAATGTTTATCGAACCAAAATCGGGCCTTCAAATTAAAATAATCGATCTGATACAAAGTAATTCATTTTCTATTTCCACGTACGATGTACCTACCTATGCATAGTATCTATTTATACCTCTATGCGGTTTAATAATTTAATACATGTAATACATATTGTATCAATATTGAATCTTACAACTTATAAGATATATTCTTGTATATTATATAATATATTAATATTTATAATTTCAATTACAATAATAATAATTATGATATTTAAACTTCGTTTGCCGCTAAAATATTTATTTTTTTTTACATAACCTTAATAAAATTTTATTCGAGGTGCCTAAAAAAATAGCGGCGATAAACTCAACTAAAATGTACTCTTCAAAGGCTTAGAAGTGATCAAATTATTTTACGTTGTTAAATAGGGAAGTGTTCCGACCTTAAGATCTTAATCGAGAGAGACCTTTTTGATTTAATCTAGTCTGTGATTAAACCACACATATATATATATATAGAGTTGCCATAATGATAATTGCATAAAGCAAATCCGGGACGAATAGAAAAATAACAAATAAAATTAGACTAAAAATGTGATTGCATCATGTGATATACCTATACAATCTATATGTATTAAAAAAAAAACCTGACTCATTATTTTATAAACTAAAACAATACAAAACAAATTGCATTTATTTTTCTTATAAATTATACATTTATTATAAAAAAAAACATTAATAAAACAAATAACTAATAAATATTTGGATATTTGTTGTAAAAAGTTTTGTCATCATTGCATCATCATTACAGGTATTATTCGAAACAATTGTCGAAATTAAATAATAATTTCTTAAAACCGGAACATATTGGAGTACCGACATTTATTTTCGAACATCGGTACTCGTGACTAAAAATAATAAAATATCACACTTTAATAATATAACTTTTTGAATTATATAATAAAATAAAAACATCCTAGAATAATGGGGGCGGGTGCAGTCACTGCTATATGTAATTTAATGCATACCTGTAAGCAACGATAATCCATTGCTTAAGAAAAAACGATTTTGAGGGAAGTTCAGTTGATAGTGATGCTTTATCAACAATAAATATGCCATATTATAGTAAAATAATAAGGTAGACTCTGTTAATTTTTTTAATAATATTTGTTTTATGTTTTACCGATTTCCCCGGTTTCCCTACGTTTTTCCTAGTTTTTTACATTTCCTAAAAAAACTTCGGAGAAAATCGAAAAATGACCTTTCCAAAGTACCTCCTCAGTGAAATTTACTTTAAAAATTTGCTATCATTATAAGTTGGAGCAAAATTACTGGTAGAAAAGTTGTCCACAGAAAAAAAAAATCGTAATATTATTCAAATATATTTAGTACATTTTACCGTTTCTTTTTCAGTTTTTCGCATTTGATAAGGTCAAATGACCTCTTAAAGGAACCTCCCAACAACGATTTCCTTTCAGAAAAGTTGCTACACGTAAAAACCGGAACAAGTTCTCTAGTAAAAAAGTTGTCCACAGAAAAAAAAAATAACCTTTGTAAAATCGTAAACTTCTTCTTTCCATTCAGAATCTATAATATTATATTTGTTTTTTAAATTCTGAGTGTAGCAAACAATGTATTGGTTTTATTAAAATATTATATTTTTTTTATATCCTGTGTACAAAAATTCAACCATAAATCTTACCCCGATATATACGAGCAGTGCCATTTTTGAAAGAGAATTTTGTCCAGATGGTACTTTTGGGAGGTAATTTTTTAATTTTCTCAGCGGTTTTCATAATATCTGGGAAAAACCGTGATAAAATGTCGGAAAAACAGAAAATATACGAAATGTAGGTATTAGTAAACAAATATTATGGTCTATTTTTTCTGTGTACAACTTTTCTACCAGCAATTTTGCTCCAATTTACAATGATAGCATTTTTTCTGAAAGTAAATTTGACTAGGAAGGTACTTTAAGGTGGTCATTTTTTGATTTTTTGAAAAGTCTTTTTAGCAAATGTGATAATCCGGGAAAAACCTGGGGATACCGGGAAAAATGAGAAAATCAATACAATATTAAACAAATATTATTAAAGAAAATATATAATGCCTATTTAATTATTAAATTATCATAATATGACATATATATTTTTGACAAAGCATCACTATCAACTGAAGTGCGCTCAGAATCGTTTTTTTGTTAGCAATGGTTTATCGTTGCTTATAGATATACATTAAATTACCTATAATAGTGGCTGCATTATCATTACCCGTCTCCATTATCTTAGGACGTTTTTATTTAATATTAAATTGTTTTGTTGTTAAGTTAAATTATTTAAATATTTATTTAATATATTTAATACATGTATCATATGTTTTAGTTAGATTGGTGAGCCTAATGCCAATGCTTAATGCTGTAATTTGAGGTATACACATGAGAGAAAGCAAATTACATTTGAAGTCATTTTTCAATAGCAGATATTATGGTAAATTTTAGGAAGTGAATTATAGGGTGATACGAAACAAATCCGCAGTTATCTCCCTCCTCCTTGAAGTTTGGTCAAAATCGACACATACCGTTACATATAGATATAAATTATAAAAGGTTAAGTTAGGTATTATTATTATTACAATATTGGTAGTATTATGCAATACCAATAATACGATTAATATTTATTAATAGTATTAAAAAAACACTATTTTTATAAATTAAAATATGCAAAGGTGAGTAATTATTCATTAAAAGGTGCAGCTAAAAATTTTATCAGTCAATAATCAAGACATATTTAATGTTATTTTTTAAGTACATTTTAAAATGTTTACATAGGTACTTATGTCAAATGTTTTATCATATTGTTCATTATAAATTATAACTTATGAGGTAGATCTGACAAAAATGCATGATAGATTTTGTATTTTAAATCAGTGCAAGTCGTCGTGGATATTCAATTAATCTGTTCAGTATTGCTTCTTGAAATTATTTTTTTCAAAAACCAATTATATGTATACACTCAACACACAAAGACCTGAAACATGCATGTCCAAGTAAATTTTTATTAATAATTACATTATTATAGGAAATGGTGATTTTTTTTAAATTTGTAAACGTTAAATATTATATCATACTATTCAAAAACAATTTTCTATCATAGTTGAACGTAGCCACGTCTTGATACTCCTTAAAGTATTTAAGTATCTTTCGATACTTTGTACTTGTTGTACATCGTGCCAAAACAATACAGCGAGCATGTTTTAGAATAGGAAAAGACCTGCTTCTTTGACTACATCATTAAATTACATTGCTACAAGTTCTTTATCAGTTAATTATTTGTCTTGTCATAATTAATAGTTATATTATATTTTTTATTCTATGTCCTACTTAAACACATTATATTTGGCGCGAAAAATAATAAACATGAAAAAGCATTCGTTTTTTTTCTTCCATTGATATTTGTTATTACTTCCATGGAGCGGTACATGTCTTCCCCACCAACCGTAATTGATGTCGTAGTCGTTTTATGTGTTATACGAAGTGCATATTGCCCGTGTGATCATCTTTCTCTATCGTTTTCCGTTCAAGTCGTTCATGACTGGATGGTTTTAATTTTATTAAGTATATAAATTTTTAGCTTTTAGGGACAACGCTATGGTAAGTTTTTATTTAAGTATTCTTATTCGTTATAAATTATTGTTTATTTACCCTTATTAATTGTTCCGTAGTGACTATAAATCGTGGTGATAGAATCTGTTACATCAGCCCATGTTCGGCCATGTGGACTCTATAATAATTTAATAATACTAATAGTTTCTTCTTAATTTCTATCTGTAGTCGAAATATTAACTTGATCAACTATCTAGCCATCGACTTACAATTTTGTGATATATTCGAGTATTTGTTGTAATTTGTTAAATTTGTTGACCTAACCTCACTTTCGATATAATATAATTTTTTATACGTATTGTCATTAATTTGTAATTATACGCGTTTTCACTTTTAATATATACATTGTACTTTTACGTTAGTATAAAAGTACTTTAATTTTATATGTTAAAATAGTTAAATTTCATTAAAAAGTTTTACAAAAAAATAATGTTAGAATGTTTAAAATACCTGTATTGGGTTACAAAATACTATCCTATTATTAAATATTTATTTACTATTATAACTGAATCATTTTTAGTGTAAATTTATTAATAATTTTAGTTTTTTTGATAGGTTGTTAATAATCCTATTTTATCAAAACACATGTAAAATTGTATTACATTGAAGTAGTTCCCTTAAACAATTAATAATTATTACTTTTAGGCTTTATCTACAGCTCGGCCGTTAGTTTCTGTGTATAGTGAGAAAAATGAAGAAACTGGAGAAACTGTAGCTCTTGCTACTGTGTTCAAGGCACCTATCAGACCAGATGTGGTTAGCTTTGTCCACGACAATATTTCAAAGAACAGTAGACAACCCTATGCAGTTAGCAAACTAGCCGGTAAGCTAATATTTTATGATAACTATATCATCAAATATTTCTTAATTTCTTCCCCTTGTGTTATAATTATATTATGCATTTAGGTCATCAAACTAGTGCTGAATCATGGGGTACTGGACGTGCTGTTGCTCGTATTCCCCGTGTCCGTGGTGGTGGTACTCATCGCAGTGGTCAAGGAGCCTTTGGTAACATGTGTCGTGGTGGTCGAATGTTTGCCCCGACCCGTATATGGAGGCGTTGGCATAGAAAAGTTAATGTTACACAAAAACGTTATGCTACAGTTTCAGCAATTGCTGCTTCTGGTGTACCTGCTCTTGTTATGTCTAAAGGTAATTCTATTTTATTGAAGAATTAAAAGAGTTTACATGTACCTTAAATGTCCACATTTGAACAAAATTATTAGTTTATTATGTTTTAAAGTGTGCTAAATTAAATTAATTTCATCAGCGTACTCTTATAAAATTGTTTATTTTTTTAAGAGTTCCAATGAAATTGAATAAATTTAGTATTGTTTATGATAATATTTCTCTAAGTTTTAAATTTTGTTTCCTATTGTTAATGTACAGTGATGTCACTGCTTAAAGCACTGGGTTATAATTGCCTGTGATTACTTAACAAGTATTTATTTATGTAATATCTAGTCGAGTACATTCAAAATTTTTTAGATCGAGTGTATTCTAATAATCAAGCAACAGTTGTAAAATTACATAATGTTTGAAATAATAATGCAAATTAACTGTAGAATAAATTACATATTGTTTCAGCATTACAAAATGACAACATAGTGTTATATTGCTAATTAATTTTTTTTTTTTTTCTTATGATGACATTCTTTACAGAGCATTGGGTTATGATTTCAATGATTACTTTTACGTTGACACAGTCTGATAATAATTAAATTTAAATTTTGTTTTTTGTGAGCTATAGCTGTAGAGTACATTTTAATGAAAAACTGAAAATGTATATTATTTTTATAAATTGTGAAATTTATACTGCACATGGCATAGTCTTATACTTATGTATTCGCACAAAACCATTTGATCGTTTAGTGCATATATTAACCTTGTGCTTTCTAGGCGTTGCCTCACTTAATTTTAGTATTAGTGGTGGCGGCAAGAGTATCATATAATTTTCTATTAATTATAAGGTTTTGTTTAAAATGATGACATTCTTTACAGAGCATTGGGTTATGATTTCAATGATTACTTTTACGTTGACACTGTCTGATTATATTAACATATAAAATATGCATTTTGTGTGATCTATTATATAGAGAAATTTAAAACCATAAACTGATTCTTATTTAAGTACGAAATATTATTAGTATAGGTTGAAGAAGTACTAAACTTGCACATGGTGTAGTCAAATACATATGTATTCGTACAGAACCATTTGATCGTTTAGTGCATATATTAATTTTGTGCTTTCTAGGCGTTGCCTCATTTAATTTTATTATTAATTGTGGCGGCAAGAGTATCTTACATGTTTCAGCAAAATGTTAGCAGTATTTTTATAATAGTTTCTTTGAATTAAATATATTAAATAATATTTATTTGTTTATTAATTTAAAATTTCTATTATATTATTTAAGGTCATTTGGTTCAGGAAATACCTGAATTTCCATTGGTTGTTTCTGATAAGATACAAGAATACACTAAAACAAAGCAAGCTACCATTTTCTTACATCGTATTAAAGCATGGAATGATGTCCAAAAGGTAAATAATTGATGAGAATAAGAATTCAAAGAATTAAATTACATTTGTACTTTTGTACTTAAACTATTTCTGTGTAGGTGATCAAGTCTCGGCGTATACGAGCAGGTAAAGGAAAAATGCGCAATCGTCGTCATGTTCAACGCAGAGGACCATTGATTGTATACAGCAAAGATCAAGTAGGATATTATTATTTTTTTTTTTTATCCAATTATTCTTAAATCCTGAATGCACTTTATTATATAGAGTTAAATAATTATGATTTATACTCATACATTCTTATTGTGCTATACAATTTGAGGTCTGATCTTTCCTAGTCGGCTTGTGCTTGTATTGGGGACAAACTTACCATACAAATTATAACATGTGTAATAATAAAACATTGAAACATTATATATTACTTTTACAACCAAAACTACTTGAATTTTTTAACTCAGAAATTAAACTTTAGTTCCAATTGACCATTGGTAATTACAATTTTAAAACACTGGCACAATTTCACACTTTAATGTTGATTCATAATTTTTTGAGTGTTCTTATTGTGCAACATTAAAAACTTAATATTTCACAGTCGCTGCTATAGTTATTTATTTGCTGCATACTCCAAAATAATTACAAAATTTAAAAGTTAATTAATTTTAAATTCATAATCACTTCTATATATTTTAAAGTCAATATAATACTAATAAGAATGGTATATTGAAAGCACATATAAATGTCCAACATCAATATTGAAAATTTACTGAAATGTTACCGTACGTGTGCAAAATTAAATTTTTATTTCAAGGCGTACCCTAGATATATTAATACTTGCATCTTTTGGGTTCCATTGAAATTAAACATAACAAAATTTTAAATGTATTATTGCACAATTTCACACTTTAATTATTGATTCGTAATTCTTATGAGTGGTCTTATTGTGCTAAATTAAAAATTATTTTACAGTCGCCGCTTTAATTATTTATTTGCTGCACACTCCAAAATAATTACAAAATTTGAAAAGTGTGTTCATGATTATTAGCACTTAAAATTTGTAGTGTAAGAAACATTTTAAATGCACATATAAATGTCCAACATCAATATTAATAATTTATTGAAATGTTACCGTACGTGTGCAAAATTAAATTTTTATTTCAAGGCGTACCCTAGATATTTTAATACTTGCATCTTTTGGGTTCCATTGAAATTAAACAACAAACTTTTTAAAATACTATGATATAAATTCTCACTTTAATTATTAATTTGTAATTTTTATGAGTGCAAAATTGAAAATTATTTATTGCATGTCCAAATTATAATGTTGTTTATTGTCATTTATGTGACAACATAATATAACTCATTCTCTTCAGTTCATAAACAAATCTCAAAAATTAAGAATAAAATGGTAAATCACATGTGTTAATATGAATATTTTTATTTTTGATTGTTGAGCATAATTAAGGAATGTTTCTTAGTATCTACTCTTTGTTTATGTATTGATAATATACTCTAAGGCAGTTTTAAATCATGTATTTGCAAATAATGTGAGGCTTTGCAATTGATTTAATTTATTTAAATTTTAAATTTGTTTATAATCTAGTTTTAATAACAGAGAACAATTTTTATTTATGTGCAAGTGATTTAATAATTCTTTATTTCCTTCAGATTCTAACAATTAATCTTTATGATAGATATTTAAATAATAAAACTTTATTAAATTTGTAAAATGATTTTGTAGGATAGTATTTCTTATGTATTTGGTTTAGATTTAATAGATTTTTTTTATTTTTATTAGGGTTTAAGGAAGGCTTTCCGTAACATTCCTGGTGTAGATTTGATCAATATCAGGAAATTAAACTTGTTGCATTTGGCTCCTGGTGGTCATGTTGGACGTTTTATCATTTGGACACAATCTGCTTTCCAAAAGTTAGATGATCTTTATGGTACATGGGATAAAAAATCAACTCTTAAGAGCGGTTACAATTTACCATTCCCCAAAATGTCAAATACCGATCTGACTAGGATTTTCAAATCTGATGAACTCAAGAAATATTTGCCACCTAAGAGGTAAGATGCAATACATATATTTAATCACTATAAAATTAAATTACATGTTGAGATAATTATGTTAATATATATAATGAAATTTAAGTATTGCATATGATGAGATAAACTTGGTCCGTGTTATTGATATTATATGATAACATACAAGATTTTTAAACTTCTGATTTGATAATAAAGTATTAATATTTCTAATGTAGTTATATAATATGATGAGAAGAATGCTTGGTCCGTGTTATTGACATTATATGATAACATACAAGTTGTTTTAACTTCTGATTTGACAATAAAGTATTTATATTTTTAGTGTAGTTAAATAATATGATGAGAAGAATGCTTGGTCCGTGTTATTGACATTATATGATAACATACAAGTTTTTTTTAAACTTCTGATTTAATAATATTAATACATATGAAAATATTTGTTGATCTGTAATACAGATAATATAAATATAATAATATAATAATAATATCTTGATAGTATAAACATTTTTTTTAAAAATTACTGATTGATGTATAGGAATCAAATTCTCAATGTGTGAAATTGATAAAAAATATTTATTGCTAATATTTTAATAATACACCAAATTGGACATGATGTAAATTTTATTTTTTGAAATATGATGATTTTTAAAAATTATGCTTTGTTTTAATTTCTGATCCAATTATTTTTTACTTAACAACTATGTAGACTTAACACATTCACTTGAATTAGTTTATATTATAATGATTGATAATTTTATTTTCGTATGTATTGAACATGATGTATATTATATTTTTGAAAGTATTATGATATTTAAAATTATGCTTTGTTTTAATTACTGATTCAATAATTTGTTATCCTCGTAATACAATTGAATTTCTTCATTTAATTATAATAATAAAAAATACATTTATTGGAGATAATAGAGTAGTTGAAAAATGACGTGAAAATAAGGTTGATTATGATATTTTTAAAAAAATGCTGTTTTATTAATTGCTGATTCAAATAATCAAATTATTTGTAATCATTTTTTGGTTTTTATAAACGTTAACTACAGGCCTCACAAATTTTTTTTTTTTTAGGACTGGATCAATACGTCGTACTCGCAAGTTAAATCCATTGAAACATGTGCGTACAATGTTAAGATTGAATCCTTACATAACTGTCCAGAAACGTGTTGCAAGCCAAGAAAATAAATTAAGAGCGTTGGCTCGTGAAACTTATTTGGCTAAAAAAGAAGGCGTAAGTGAAACATTTACCAATTGTCTGATTTTGTTTAGGATAATAATAAGTTTTATTTTATCCATAGTAAATAAATTTGGCAATAAATAATTTGTTTAGTTGGGTAATTTTATAATTTGTTGTTTAGAAACCAACTACAGAAAAGGGGGAGAAGATATTGAAGCGTTTTATCGCCGAGAAGAAAGTATTACGTGCTGCTAAAATCAAGGCAAAGAAGGTTATTGCAGTTAAGGGTTTACGTGATATCCATGAAAAAAAATTGGAAGCATATAGAAAGCGACTCGCCGCCCGGGATGGTGCCCCACCTACCAAGAGGTGCAAAAAGCAATTGCCTAAGCCAAAACCTAAGACCAAGACAGATGACAAGGGTAAAAAACCCAAACCTGTTGCTGCTAAGGCAGTACCAATTGGTAAAGCTGGTAAATCTAAGGCATGATTGGACTAATAAACAAAATTATTTTAAACAATTTGTTTTTATTTCTTATTTTCTTTATATCCATTTCCTTTTTAACTAACATAAATGTGGTATTTAATTGAAAACTGTATTCTTATCATATTTATAATGTTTGTATTCACAAAATAAAAAAAAAAACATTTTTTATTTATTTATATCATTAATTTCTATACTACCATTAAAATTCATTGTTACTATTGACAATATAATTTATTGAAATTAATGAAACCTGATAGTTCTATTTTGTGTATTTTTAATGTACAGTTTACTAAAATAAAAATTCAATACACAAAGTTAAGTAATTAATATCTTAAAGTAACAATTGAATGAACCATTGCTAACGAAAAACAATTCTATGAAGTTCATTTATACATAATTTGTGAAAAGCTGGTAATACTTAAGACTTATTTTAAAATTAAATCTAAAAACAATTTTAAAAAATTACTCTATTACTCTAATTACATCTATTTAGTAACTTAGTGCAACTTTAATGAACCTGTTACATTTGCACGCATTTTTGGTTAAAAAGTTATATTTACGTGTATTATATAAGTTTATCAAAATTTCAAATGTTAATCATTAACTTAAATATTCCTGGTCTTTACTTTTTTTTTTCTAAATTATGCTCGATTTTTAAAACTAATTATTTATCAACTACATTATTAAAGTTGGGAATTATTAAGCATACAAATTTAAAATATAATTATTCATAATGCTATAAATTAATCAGTTCTCTCTCTTTTGCCCATTAAATTCTGCAAACTATTTAGAAAATCAACAAATTAATAACTTATTCACCTATTACACTCTTGTGGGTCAGAGTATAGATCCAAAATGCATAAAAATAACATTTTCTGTTTAAATAAATAATTATAGTAGAAATTAAAAGTAATGAAATCAATAACACTAAAGTATCTTGTAAATATTTGATTTTTTTCAAATTATGAAAACTGGAAAGTTATAAAATGACCTCTCCAATGTACAAAACTAGATAATAAAAAAATGTTTTCAGAAAAGGTGCTACACTTCATATTTCAAAGTTTTCTGTTTGAAAAATTGTTCAGATATAAAAATATACAGTAAACTACATACAAAATCTAAAAAATTGTTAACACCTATTATTCAAAGTGTTTGGTGTGATTAATTTTCAATTTGAATCTCACTTAAATTAAATTAAAGACATTTTTGTTCTGAAGGTTTCAATTATAAAAAAATCTAATGTCAAATAGATAATGAAATATCTGTATCAAGAATCTATTTCATTACTAAAATGATAAATATTATGGAATATATTAGTATATTAGTTCCTGAACCACTGTTGGGCAGAAAATTATACAAGCACGGTGGTAACTAATTTGTTGATATACATTTGTATACTTTTCAATTTTTAATGTGAGGTTAAGAACAGAGCACATTGCTATGGCAACTAAACCCTGAAATTATATACAAACCATGGCCAAGTAATGAAAATTAATTATTTACCCATGATACATATATTCATGTATAAACATTGCAGTGCAGTCATTAACTTCTAGTAATTTATGTAAAGATTTTATTTGAACAATGGAAAATTATAAAATCTTGGAACGAATTGGAGAAGGGACACACGGACAAGTAGTTCAAGCATTAGAACGTTCTTCTGCTAAAATAGTTGCTATAAAATGTGTGCGGTCGTTGGATAAAGCATCTAAGAATTTACTCCGTGAAATCGAGTCTTTGAAAGCTTTGAATTCAAATTATGTACATGGCAAATATAAACATAATATTAATATTTGGTTCTTACAAGAGAGTAAATTATTTATTATTTTAGATTGTAAAGCTGTTAAATCATTTCTGTCACAGTTTTAGTTTCTATTTAGTATTGGAATATGTGGTGTCTGGTTTGCCAGAGATGTTGTGCGATGATAATATATTATTAAATGATTCTCATCTGAAAACATATGCCCGGATGCTTCTTAACGGCGTATTTCACATGCATGCGAGTAACATCATGCATAGAGTCAGTAAAATTTCATTATTTTATTATTTATGGTACCTACCTATTATACCGATTGCATGTCTGTTTAGGATCTGAAACCGGCAAATTTGCTAATTAGTTCTCAAGGTGTGTTAAAAATAGCAGATTTTAGTCTTAGCCGTCTAATGTTAACAGAAGATAATAGTGTACAATTCAGTGAAAATTGTTGTTATACTGGTCAAGTGGCCACACGTCGATATCGTGCTCCAGAACTTTTATTTGGTTCTAATCATTATAATCAATCTATCGACATGTGGTCGGTTGGTTGTATTTTGGCAGAAATGCAAATGAAAACTCCTTTATTTGCGGTAAACAATCTAAAATTATTCTAAAACATTTTTTTTATATTATTTAATCATTATAGGGTGATTCTGATATGGAACAAATTGCTATTATTGTACACTATTTAGGAACACCAACTGACAAAACGTGGCCAAACAGGAATGAAATGCCAGATTACAATAAACTGAAGTTTACTCATTGTGACCCAGTATCGATAAATATATTATTGCCAGATATTGATGAATTATTGATTGATTTAATCCTTAAATTAATTGTATACAATGCAAACAAAAGGTTAAGTGCATATGAGGTACATACAAATTGTTTTTTTTGCTAAAATATTATATCAGCATATTATTAAAATCCTTACTTAACATTTATTTAATGGTTAACTAGAAAAATTATATAAATCTCATCTGTGTTGCACTAAAATAAACCAAAGGATAAAATGTATTAGCTAAGCTATTGAAATTAATTTTTCAGGCATTACTACATCCTTATTTTTTTAACGAACCGTTGCCATGCCTAGAACATAAAATGCCAAAACCACCAAAGGATCATAGACAAAAACTTACACCCAAACAGACTGAAGTAATTGAGAATATGGAAAACAATTTTAGCCAATTATATAAAATACTTGACGAAACGTGATTGCAAACTGTTTTTACTGATCATTATATTACCAAGTAAAAATGTTCTTCCATGATAACACATTATTTAAGCAACATATTAAAGAAAAAAAACATTTTTAAAGTAGGAAATTAATTATTGTTTATTACATAGTATTAGAAAAATAAATATATATTTTATATTAAAAATATAAATCATATTTAGAAAACTAAAAATCACAGGTAAATATAAAAAGGTTAATAAAATAAACACTCTTAAAAACAACATATATATTTTAAATTAATTGAAATCTATTGGCAAATCATAACTTAATTCTTTTTAATAATAATAGGACGCCATTTATTTGAAAGTGCAATATTTTTATTTTTTGATTTTATTTATATATATAAAAAAAAAGATTGGTTAGTTAAATAATATTCTAAAATAATAAATAAATAAATGTATATTTTTAACTTAGTATTCCACATTTAAATTGGAGTAACATTCCAGATTTTTGTGTTACAATCTTGTCCAACTGATACTAAAGTCTCATCATCTAACCACAATACACGTGTAATTTGACTTTGAGGATGAGCATCTTTATTTAACAAAAATAATTTTATTTATATTATTTCAATTCAATGTTAATGGTATTTTTTTATACTAACTTTTAATTATTGTATGTTTGTTTGGCAAAGAAACACTCCATATAATGATTGTAGTGTCTAAACTTCCACTAGCTACCTGTTTAGAGTTTGGTGACCAGGCAACACAGTTGACACGTGCATTATGAAAACCCCAATCTTGTTTATGTGCCAGCTAAAAGTAAAACTCAAAATTAACCAACAACATACATATTTTATTTAAATAAATTATCCAATCACTGAAGATAAATATGTTTAAATTATTAAATATATTATTATATATATATTATTAATTATAAATATGAGACAAATTGTAACATTAGATATTGTTAGTTGTATTTGTAATTGCATACCATATTTTTATTTTTATAATATTAATAAATCAAAGTTATTTGTTTTAGACGATTTATAAAAATATTGGATAATTTAACTTCACTTACGTTGAATTCAGGCACTTTATATAAAATAACTTTACGATTAGTATCACTTGCTACTAAATACTCTCCATCCGGTGAGAAAGAACAGTCTGTAATTGGTCCTAAATGTTCACACTCTGCTGTGAATTCCAAAGTGTAATTAGAGTCGTTATACTTGTATACATGAACCTGGTGATAATGTTAAAACATAATTAATTAATTTAGTGTAATGGCAGTTAAACAGTTCAAATACTGACTTTATTGTCCAAAGCACCTCCAACAGCAACATAACTGGCATCTGGACTAACAGCTACAGCGGAAGGTTCATAGTCCACTGGCAAATTGAAAACTTTTTTTTCATTTTTTAATACAATAATCTAAATAGAATATTCTTATTGTAAAATAAGTACTAATTTAATAATATCAATGTTATTTTCAAACCTCTTTAATGGTAGCTGTGACAAGTATATTACTATTAAAATCCATTCCTCGTGGTTGAGCGTTTAATTTAACTTGCAAATCTGTGTACGAATTGGACTTAACATCCACTTGCCTAAGACTGTCATCAATTCCACAAGAATACAAATATTCACTGTCTAGTTTCATTCCATTTATTTGATTGCCATGACCTACTCCGGATACCCTATCATTTTCACCTAAGTTCAGAAATAATATTATTATTTTTTACTTACATTGAATAAATCCCATAATAGGAATCATTTCAATAATCATTCAATATAATATTACATATATAAAGTTATTAATACTTTATAATTACCATTTGCAGCATTCCAATTTGTAATGTTTCCATCATGAGAACCAGTATAAATAGTGCTACGATCTGGACTTAATGCCAACACTGTAATTGGTTTATTATGACCCTAAACAAAATAACAATTGCTGGATTACATTTTCATATAATTATTTAAATTATATGAAAATGTACTTTCTAATATGCAACTTTTTTTTTTTTAAATATTTAATATTATTGAAAATAAAATATTTTTAAAAAAAACATCGAGTTATATTACACTTGACAGATAACATTATAAAACGAATTACAATTCATACATAAAATTCTTAAAAGTTTTGTTATAAAACAGTACACATAGTTTAGATGAAGAAAATGAAACACTATAATTACCTTGATAATTCGTATAGGTTTTTCAGGATTATTGATATCCAAATAAGTGATAAAGCCATTTAAAGAGACAGTTAATAAATAATTGTTTTGCCACAAACAAGACACCTAGTAAAAATATATAATGATATTTGTTTTTAATTGTAAAAAAAAAAATCAAACCTGTTGATCCTCTACTTGATTTCCAATCACAAATTCACTGACCACAGATTTAGTTTCTATATCCCACAATTTACAAGTTTTATCACCAGATGATGTTAATATTTGTGTACTGTCTGCATTCCAAGCAACCTAATGTTTTATTGAAAAATTATAATAATTGAATAATTATTATTATTTTATATACTTGTGTATTATTTTCTTACTCCATAAACTCCTCCTTTGTGTGCTGGACTACCAATTTCAGATACAAGATCAGCATTAGTACCATCATACAAGAATACTTTACCATCAAAGCCTGCTGATGCAAAAAAATTACCATTTGGCGAGAACCGTACTGCCTGAACAAACCTTGAATGCTCCTGAAATATAAACAGTTTATTAAAGTAGATTAAAATTAAAACTAAATCAAATTATTATAGTATTAATAAAATGTACTTGTTTGGTCATCTTGAATTTAAATGGTGGCCCTTCAAAAATACCAATTGTATTATCTTCACTTCCAGTTACAATTCTAAATGGACGACTAGGTCGAAAATCACACGAATTTATTGGCTTAGATTGACCTGATATTTCACCAACCGAGGTACCAGTTTCTGACATGAATACATGACCAAATCTATAAACATACAAATAAAATGTTAGAATACAAATTAATTTGAATATATTCAGTATTAACATACCTTTCTCGACCTTCACCAACAACCACCATGCGTTGATTGTCTGGAGACCAAGCAATATCTTTAATTGGGCCACCGATTGGATGGAACTCATTTTTCAATATGTGTTCTTTATTTACAGTATCCCAAATCCTGATCTTGCCAGATTGATCTATAATTTATTTATTTTAGTAGTTAATTCTTTAACAAATTTGTGTTGTTAATCATCATACCACCAGAAGCTATGTAAAATCCACTAGGAGAGTACTTGGCAACATTTACAGCGCATGAATGTTCAGTGTAAATGTCTGATATTGCAGGATTCTTGAATAAGGTTAGATATACAAGTATAAATTATTAAAATGAAAGAATTTTTAAGATCAGTTAACTAAAAATAATAAACAAATATTGACTCACCTCAATATTACGTATAATAACACTGTTACCGTTTGTATATAAAAAATTGTTTCCTTTGGGATCACCACCCAAAACTATAGGCTGCCCTCGTTGGGTACGTGGTAGTGTTGAATATATGTACTCTAAAATAAAATAATGATTTGAATAAAAAAATTATTTTAATGTACCTAAATAAATTATGTTGAAGATGACTCACTATTTGAATAAGACATGTTGTATCTGATACTTTACTGTATAGTAAAGAGTTAATTAATGAATAGACCAACGTTAACGACGATGTAACGAGTTTAATATTAAATTCCTAAACAATAATGAAAATGTTATAAAAAAAATCTAAGGCGAAATGTTCTGTTTATATCTATAAAAATGCAGATAATCGCTTTGAATATTTTTTACTTATTCAGAAACCCGATATGTCCGAATACTGATGATAAGCATATCCTTGATAAGTGCCGAGTTCGCCAGGATTACCATATAAGGAAAAGCAAAATTTATATTTCGTATAATTTTAAAGTTTATGAACTATATATTAATAATTTTTTGTTTTTAAAATTGATAAATGATACTATTCTTACTCTACGGTGATATCTAATACTTTAAATTGAGTAAAATGTCAATAAGTAAACGAGTAAGTGAGTTATACTGTCATTTACAATACCTATTTCGTAATCTTGCACTATTATTTATTAGCACCACAGTAACGATTGTATAGAAAACTGAAAATTGTATAAACTATGAGATGTAACGTAATTCAGTATAATTAATTATAGTAACGTTGGAACTAAATGATTTTTATCCAGTTAGTTTCCTAGGAACGAGTTAATGTTAATTAGACGGAATCACGCTTGTGAGCATTGTGTTCTTATACTGTACCACGGCTGTAGATTGTTATCAAATAATTCTAATGTACCCATTTAATTGTATTAATCACACTGTTTAGTCACAAAAAAACCACCATAAAACATTTAATGAGCAATAACCAAATAATCTTCAAGTTTGACGTGTCTCACTTGAAGTTTATTCCGTTTCTGTGTGAAAACGATATACACTACAAACGCACAATAATAATGTGTACCTAATCCTTTCTATTTAGATTCAAGTGATATTATTAAATATTATATTGAATGTGACTTATAGCCGACGTTGCCATAAGGTTTAAAACAAAATAAATTTTTTATACTTGCATTATTTTATGTCTAATGAATGTATTACTAATAGAGTTCATTACAGTTTATTTTTGTTTAGTTGGTAATAATCATATAACTATATACTTATCATATTATGATTATAACATAATTATTTACCTATTATGTACCTATAAAATATCATAGAACTGTTTACCTAACCATTTTTTTTTTAAAAAACTATAAAATTATAAAATGGAGATTAGGTATGTACCATGTGTTATGCTTGTATGTTAATTATTCCTGTGAATTTCTTTTTATAATAGACATTAACTTTATTAAAACCCCGCAATTCCAATTGCAGTGAAATCGGTTTGAAACTTAAACGCACGAGTTTAAAATTCAGGAAAGCTACACAAAACAGAATATTAAGCTAGTGATTTATTTGAATTATAATATCTATATGAGTAATAATAATATCACGATCAAATAAATATACAAACAGTAATACTGAACAAATACCTAATTCAACCGGATCATAGATAGACTCAATGTTTATTATCTAAGCTTAATTTACCGTTATGACATCCATATAATTATGTATAGTCATTATACAGATCTGGGCCTAAAATTGTATGTAACAGGTAAATACAAAATGTTTGGTTTGTAGTAAGTACTTATGCAATTAAAAAATGTGAGGTGGCAATATTGTGATATTTATTTGGGTTATTTATTAATTTTATATCATTTTGAACTTTTAATAATTTTTATTGGGGGAAAAAAATTCCAAAATGCATTCATCTTTAATAAATTTTTATCTAACAAGTTGATTCATACAAAATTGACAGTTATCATATATTATTCCAAAGATGATGAAGAAGGATCACGTATAAATCTGGAAATTGGAAATCTGAAGGGTACTGATCTAGAATGAAAAATCTGAACTACAAATTATAGATATCTGAGTAAGAGGTAAGAATAGGTCATAAATATAAAATTTCATAAATGCAATATTTAAAGAGGCTATCTATAGGCAATTTTTATTCATTTTTTAAGAATTTATTCAAACTTAACGGGTCTGCATAAAAAACTGGAAATTGGAAATCAGGATCTTCAAAATTCGATAACTTTTTATAAAGCTTATATTAAAACTAGTAAATAAAGTACAGAATTGTATTAGAGTAGAGTTCACCTAACAACCAGATTACAATGGAATTGTTATTTATTACATAATTAGACTTTTCATTAATAATATTTTTGTGTATCTATTTTGAACATCATAAGTTCTATTTCCACGTTTTATTTCATGTTTAAAGCTAATTTTTTTAGACATGTTTAATATGGCAAATTTGAAAAAAAGCCTGACTGATAATACATTTAGTTCTTTATAATTAGATATTGTGTAACCTTTTAGATCTTTTTTGTTTAGACTAAAATTAGTTTGGAAACTTGCTGGACTTGTTTGTACTTTAGAGAGGTCATTTTTTGTATTTCTCAGAAGTTTTCTTATTAAATTTGAAAATCCCAAAAAAAGGAGGAAAATATAGAAAATATAGGTACTTTAGTTAAAATATATCACAATTTTTTTTTTCTGTGCACGATTTTTCTACCAGCAATTTTGTTCCAATTTATAATAACAGCAATGTTTCCAAAAGGAAATCCGACTGGGGAGGTACTTTAGAGAGGTCATGTTTGGATTTTCTCTGAAGTTTTTCCAGCAAATGTGAAGAACAGGGAAAAATGTGGGAAAAACGTAATTAAACCTGGAAAGTCGGTACAACATTAAATAAATATTTAAAAAATATATATATAAAGCCTATTTAATTATTTAATAATATGGCATATATATTGTTGATAAAGCAACACTATTATAATGAATTCTGCTCAGAATCGTTTTTTAGTTAGCGATGGTTTATCGTCTTAACACCATTTCAACAGACCAACAATTTACAATGCTAAAATCTGTTGACTAAATTTTTAGGCTTTTAAATAAAACGTGCAACCATTTAGATTATGTTTATGCATTTTCATTATTGAAATTTATTTAAAAATTGTTTTAATGATAAATACACATCATTTTGTAATATGTATGTGAATTTCAATATTTAAACTATGTTTATTTGGAAGTAAATAATATATTATTTAATTTGTCATCAAATTAAATCACAGGTAGCTCTAAAATAGTCTGTGGTCCTAGATCAGCAAATTAAACCGACCATAATCCAACTATTCAAACAAAAACCCTTGAACTATTAAATAAACACAACACACATATTTATTATAATAAGATATAACCATAATTATTTTCAACATTTTGATGTTAAAAAATTTCAGTTTATTTTATTTATATTTTTTTATATTTTTAAAAGTTCTTTTATATGTCAATTAATAATACCTTATAAGTTTTCGTGATAAATAAAAACTATAAGAAAACAACAATGTGAATATAATTTATCGCTGCTTTCAATTCTAAAACTATAATAACGTCATAGGTACCTACTAACCAAAACAATTGTTTTCCAGTAATTTACTCCGGGGTATGAAATATTAAGAATGATTGTAATTAGTCATTACAGACGATTATAAAATTTTTTTGAAAAATTTTCTTTATATAACATTGTAGTATCTACTATATAATGCACGTAAATGATTATAATAGTTCTGATAAAAATTATCTTTTTTTTGACTTACGATATATTGCAGTAAAATTTAAATATACAAACTAAATATGCTCATACAAATAATTTTTCACATAAAATAATAATAATAAAAACAATTTATATCACGATAGTATATTTTATTTGATAGAAGCAAATTTCTAAACTTGACACATTATAACTACTAAATTCAATACCATACAATAAGTACTAATAAGCACTATTAGATCAAATTCAAACATATTTTACCGATACAAATCTTACAATTACTCAAATTCATATAGGAACAATAGCAAGAAAATAACCAGATCTCTAATACTTAAGTAGATGTACAATGTGATAATTATGTTTTCTTCTTGGCTATAATAACATAACATTTAATTATATATAATGGAAGCATTTGATACACAAAAAAACATAAAATGATTGGATCCATTGCTGAGTATGCCCATCAAGCATAATATTAAAGTTAAAAATAAATTATAGACAACATCTAAAATAATGCGTAAAAAAAAAAAAAAAATAATGAATACAATAATAATGCAAAAAATACCCGTTAATCAAATTAAAAAAAAAAAAAAAAATGAGTTAACCAAGTTACATAAATTTGAGAATACTATCAAAAAATAATATTTGTATTTTAAAGTCCTTTATTGGAATACACAATAGCCGGAGGATTTTTGCAGTTGTTTACAATATCACAGTATGCAGCATTCTCATATTTCTCCAATGTACTTAACTTTATGGGACTAAAATATAAAACAATAAAATAGTTAAATAATATAATAAATAAAATACAATATTAAATTTTAATAATATACCAGAACTGAGGGAATAGGGCACACGCAGTTGGTACCATGCCAACAAGACTGAAAATAAAATAAAAATTTATAAGTATAAAATAATATCAATGCTAACCATTAATATAAGTCATAAAATACTAACAAACAACCAACAGCGAGTGTTTGGAATGGCGCATGGATCCATGTATTTCGTTTGAACCATACACTATTATTTTCAAGTTTTTCCATTACAACAGGCAGCAATACTATATAAAATTAAATATTAATAATTATATAATTATAAGTAAAAGCAATTATTTTCAAAATTACCCATTCCTGGAGAACACATAACAATTCTTGATAATATAACTTGAGATATTCCTTTAACAGCAGCCAACTGAAATCAATCAATATTTTTAAACTATAAATACACACATTTTTTTTATCAGCTAGAATATATACCTTTGAACAACCAACTCTATTCTTATCAGCATCAAACACATCAACGCCTTTTAGTAATTCATTCTGACGCATCAATGGTATGTTCACACAGTTTGCAGCTGCAACCGCGGCAAATGGAACATATCTCTAAAATTGTATTCAAATTGGTTAAATTAATTCAACAGTATATAATTCTAGAAGTTACTTGAAAGACTGGTGAAGTATGTGTGGACAAGAATTGCTTTAATTTAATTGATACTACACAAGCTGCTAGTGTTGCAGAACCATAAGCTGTAGCCATTTGATTTTGACTGAGTGGTGAATTAGCATTACGATTTGTATAATTCACTAAAGCATTGAATGACTGATTAATCCATTGCCAAAATACTACAGCTGGTATAGTTCTTAAAAAGTAATAGAGTATGACATTAATATTTTATGAATGCATCATATTATATTTAAAATGAAATACATACTTATAAAAAGACAACATAGCTCCGGTAATAGCCATACCCCCGGGAACTTGGAAACACATTCGGCCGAATACATTTTGTTTTTGTCCAGTATCTGGATGAAATGAACTTTCATAAATCTGTTTAGCAATCATCAACTGTTCAGAAGTTGTTCCAGGTGGTAATGTCCCATTCCTAAATAAAAAATAATATTTCTTTAAAAACTATTTTAGTTTTCAAATAAATTTTTTTTTTATATGCAAAAATATTTGTCTCAATAAAAAAGGGTCTTCTTAAACCATTATTTCCGTACAAACGCAAAGTATTTAAATACATTTCCATGCATATTGAAGCATGGTGTACAAATAGTCATTAAATTAAGAAATTTAATATATATATTATTGTTTCTAATTTTGTCTAACTATATTATATTAGGTATAAAAATTATACATTATTTAATAAACACCCAATTATAAACTTTATAAAGAAATTAAAACTGATGCAAGCCCAATTATTAAGCAATACATTTTTCAGAATGATTTTAATATTAAGAGGAGGAAAACTAAATATTTAAGTCTAACATTGATAAGAATTAATTGGTAAAAATACAACAATTGTCCCAAGTAATGTAAAATTATAATTATTAATTTGTATACTGCCATGATGTTAATATCAACTTGTTAATTACATTACAAAATAATTTTAATACAATTAGATATGAGTAATAATTATATTGAAAAATATATTAAAATATAAGAAATTAATAATTAAAAATAATAATGTTAAATATTTTTGTTCAATTACTTACACCTATTATTATAAATAGTAAAATAACAATACTTACAAGCAATTTGAGCGCAAAGATTTAGCTTCTTCAAGTTCTTCATCAGTTTTTAAACATAACATTGGGTTGGTTACCAAAAAGTAATAATTCCACCGCCCAACAAAAGTATTCTGATCCCAAGGGCATTTCTCTATATCAAATTTGGAACTCATAGTTGAATGCTTTTTCAACTACTAAAGAATAAAAAAAAATTGTATTAAATGATATAAAAATATATAAATGTATTGTTAAATTATAATTGGGTTGAAAATCAAAATCAAAATTATAAAAAAAATTCTGGTATAAAGGTATTTAAAACTGTAAGATTCTGTTTTGATTTCATGTATTCTTAAGTGAATTTTAGAAACCTAGATAGTTAATATAGTTTCAGATGTACATTCTTAAAATTACTAAAATTGATCTATTTGACAAGTTAAATAATTTTCATACAAAGAATTCAACTAACTGATTATTAAATTTTGAAATATAAACCGTATATTGAATTACCCAAATTATAAAATAATCATAAAAACGCCGTTTTAAATGAACAAGGGTAATAATTATTTAAAATTATGTTAGTTTTATATTAATAATACCTTTAAAAACGTTGTTTGGTTCCTAGTGGGTTTTAAAATTTTACATGCACCTAGAAGCATACATTTCACTTCAGAACCAAAATATCTTTACAGCAGTGCTGACTCGAGTAGTTGACTGAGAGAAATTGTATATGTTTACTGTGAATATTTACATATCAACACATACCAACGCTATTAAAGCGTTTACAGAGATTGTATTATTATTAATTAACTGATAATAATAATTAATAAGACAGCTATAATTATATATTGTATATATGTATCTGTATTCTGTATAATAATATGATTATTAAAAATGATTGATAAAAATTATCTTCATGGAGGAATAAATATGCCGGGCGGCGACCATAAATATTATCTATGGTGGTAACATAGCTAATAATATAAAATAATAATCAAGGTGGATGTCAAGGTGGAACCATAGTTATATATAACTCTATGGGTGGATCACAGAATATATATAGAAAATAAAATTATATATTCTATATATAATATACATATATCTGTGGGGTAAATTAGTAGATTAGTGTTGAAACCATAGAGTTAATTATTACAATTAAAGATTAAAGTGTGTCTTAGAGTCCCGTGCAGGGGCGGACTGGCTTGGGTGACTGGTCGGCAATTGCCGGTTGGTTCGTCTTCTGTATTGAGGTTTTGTGGTCCCAATTAGGTATGGTGATTTTGTTGATTTTAAAGTTTAATTGTCAATTTTAATATATAATTAACATATGTTGTCTTATGTGATTTTATTTTAATGATATCAAATATTCATTATCTTAACGAAGTATACTATTATTCAGTCTTGTAAAAATACATTTCAAATTGTAGGTATTTAAATACAGATGGGTACAAATACTGGACGCATGTAAAAGCAAGGAATGTATTTGTACGGAATATTGGTTTCCGGATTGTATTTTTCCGGAAACAAAAAATTAGCGAACTATAGTCACGAACCGTAAAAAGCCAGAATTGAAAAATATGCATATGTATTTGTACGTATTGTTTGTTTAATCATGCACCGTATAACCTCGGAATCTTGGAAAACGTTTGAACCATTTTTGCATTTTCGGGTATACATAATCGGGCGCGTATAACCAAATCTTACAATGCCCGTATATCTTTCTATCTAAATCACGTTTTTAGTTTCGTAGCGGAGCGAGAAATGTTTTGGTTTTACAATGATGTTTATTTCTTTTTTATTTCTTCTTAGTTATGCCACTGCCTTAGGTTCAGAGGGGGTAGGAACCCCCTAAACAGGCATCACTAGTAGACTAGTTATAGAATGAAAATATTTATAAAACTAGCTCTAACAAGCCTTAATATTTATTATTAAAAACAATTACAAGATCGTTTGAAAATCAAAAGGATTTAATTCAATTGCAAAAATATTAAATAAAGGCAACTGAAATAACGGTAGTGTAACTCCTTAGAGCTACTAATTTCTTAAGTAGTCAAAAAAAAAAAATCTGAAAAAGTTAATATTTTTCGAGATAATGAGTGGTCTTCTTATAGATTCTATAATATAAGTATAATCTGAATAGGGTTTGTTAATGAGCGATCGAACTACCTATATTTTTTCCACGAAATCCAGTTCTTAATTATGGATTGGAAAAATTGGCTTTCCGGAATTATACGGTCCATAACTATAATTTTTTTTTTTTTCAAAAACATACAATTCGGGTTTATATGGTTTCCGGTAAAATACAGTCCAAGTGTTAACAATCCGTACAAATACGTTTTGCATGTTTTTCAATTCTAGGTTTTTACAATCTGTGAGTAGACGATTCACAAATTTTCTTTTTCCGCAGTTCTACATTCTGTAAAAATACACTTTTATTCCGGAATTATTCAATCCGAACAAATACATTCCGAGATTTTACGGCTTCCCCAAATACTTACATTAATTCAAAAAGTATTTGAAATACATTAAAAATAAGTTTAAGAACAAATATAAATACTTTTAATGCATTTAAATACTTCTTAATTATTTGTTTGAAATGTCTAATAAAAAATTCAATAAGTATTCAACTATTTAACCTATTTTTACAACTTTGCACCATATACTTCATTTTATATTGAAAAATGAAAATAAATAAATTGTGCCGTTTACTAATTCTGAAATAATTTAATACGTTGAATGAATTAAAAAAAATTTATGATTTATACATTTATGATGTCATAATCATTCCAAAAATGTTGTATTGTACTTCAACAGCATGGTTTATTCAAATTTTTAATATGAACATGTTTGTTGTAAGCCTCCCATGGTAGTTTAATTTCTATCTCATTCGTCACTAAACTGTCAATTTACGTATATCTGATTTCGTTCTCCTCGGATTATAAATTATAATTTTGTTTGTTTATACTCCTACAATATTTAAATATAATAATATTTGCCAGAAAATTAATTAATTAATCTCAATTTTTTTTATCAACTTTAAAAATTATTTTTCCTCCTTATCAAATTTAGAATAATTTGGTAAGGATATAATACACTATCCATTTAAGTGGGTACCACTCATTATTTCGGAATGTGTTAACATTTTCAGGAATTTGTTTTCTAAAACATTTAAGAAACAAGCTGCTCTACAATTTTATATTTATGTTATTAACAACTATCTACTTATTTTTGATTTTTAAATGGCAACCTGTATTAAAAATTCTATAATTAGGTATAACTTATTCTAATCTGTGAAATTTGCGCGGAAAAAATAGGTAACAAAAACATAATCATTTTGGCAGGACGATGGCTAGTGGCTACGCGGTTATTCAAACGCCTAATAATGTATCATTATTAGGCGTAATCATAATTCCTACAACGAGACGAACATTCTGTCTGTTCACCTCCAGAGACACAATATGAAAGAATATAGTATAATATTATAAATGTAAATATATTCAGTGGCGTATTCCCGGGTTTCGACCCCCCAGAAGAAAAAATATGATTTAAGTCATAAATGACTTGCTACGAAGGTGCGGAGAAAGAGTTAAAATTAATTTATATAGGGTGATTTTTTTTATCATGAATCAGGTAACAAATTAAAAATTGTTTTAAAATAAAGCTTAAACAATATATTATTAGATAAATATTTTGTTTGTATTCGCAGCTGCAGTGTTCATTTTTATATACCTACCTACCCAGTGAAAGTTGATTACTAATATTATATGCACTATAGTATAGAGTGGGAGCTCGGGATATGCTGTTTTTGTTTTTCGTAGGTATAGGTACGTAATTTAAAATGTAATCATAGTTATTACAAATCCATAATATTGCGAATAGAAATTACTTAATGTTATTACATTGTTTTCGATTTGATTTTATCTATTACACATTACATATTATAATATCCGTTCACAAGCGAATATTATTCGTTCGTTCGGTATTATCACAGATTCCGAAGACCGAGTACGGTGTATAAATATTACAGTCACCGCGCGGTACAATACAATATTATTATAAAAAATCAGTTCGGGCAAACTTGCGCGACAGTCGCGGTGTCCGTTAATATTTTTTTTAAAATCTTACCTATGTTGGGTTATTTTTTCGAGGGAGAGGGAATTGAAATTAATTTTACAACCCCTCTTGGTCGTATTGCCATTGTTCCGGAAATAGGATTCGGGGCGAAGAGTACAGTAATAATTATATGAATATTTTTCCCGTCGGGTTGGCAGGTTATCCACACTGTCGGCCGCGGTACCGATAATTATATGCATAACGAATTCGAAAGCGTGGTAAACTGGTAACTTCTGAAACGTCCTCGGCACGCGTAGACAAAGCAGAACCATTTTGAGCGCCATGTCGCTGACGAGCAAACGGCGATCGAAAGAAACACAGATTGTGTCCGCCTGATAATAACAGTAATATGCGGCCGTTTGTGTTATCACTTTGACGAGCAGTAACAATAATCATCCTCGGTCCGCGGACTGGCTATTTTTTTTTTCCGTATTATTTCTTCGCAAGAATCGTGTCTCGGAGGAGGGGGAGGGGAGAAATAGAATTCCTGAGAAATTTTCCCACGACCCCATGATAGAGCTCGGGGCCGCCGTTTGTGTAAAAACCAGGGGTAGAAAAACGATTGGCGACGGTTGATGCCACGGCACCGCTTGAAGTTAGCAACGGTTACTCCGCGTATAATCACGGCGGCAATTATTATTGTTGTTTTTTTTTTTTTACCGTTTATATACATTTCCACTATGTTCACACATTATACGTCCCGCCACCGCCGTTGTTCCTTGACGGACGCGGTTTTGTTGTCGTTCCGCTTGTAATCTTTCGTGTTTTCCGTTTTCCGTTTTTATTTCATTTTTCGTGATCATTGTTGTTTGTCGGAAACTGAAAACGAAAATTAACTTTAATAGTTGGCCCCCTGTTGTCTCGTCAGAATTCTTCCGTTTCTACCGGACCGGCGTACACGAAAACACCATCGCTGTTGTACAAGACAACCGCGCGGGTAAACCTGTATGGACGTCGGACCACCGCGAACGCCGTAACAGCAGCAGCATTAGCAACAACAACTTGAAAATCGGCATCTGGCTATTCGATTTCCGGTAATTTGTTTCGTGAGACGGCCTGTTTTTAGCAAACAGACGGCCGCGTTTCTCTGCTATCTGTCTAACTTGGCTTGGTTATCCCGACACAGCCGACATGCCTCTGTTGCATAGGAAACCGTTTGTCAAGAACCCCGTGCCCAGGGGCCTGAGGGATTCGGACGAGGTGTTCTACTGTGAGCTGACCAAAGAGATATTCCTCAGTTACGAGTGAGTACGCGCGCTTTCGCAATATCGCGCGTTTATAAAACGGGTCCCAGGAATAAACCGTGAGTTTCACATGGCGCCGAACATGATTGATTTGCACGCGCAACCACGTTTATTATGGCCGTGCGATGAGTTGCAGCTTTTTAACAATATCTTGCATCGTCCACGAAACTTCGACATTCACTTATATTTTGTAAAAAATGCCACTTTCACTGCGCTTTTACGTCGACCCGCGATCTTTTTCTTTTTTAAAATATAATATTCGAGGTTAATCTCCTCCTCCACTTTTACTTTGGTGAGCCATATCTTATTTTTTTTTTCTGACATTCAAACAATTTGATATTTATCATTGTAAAGTTTACAGTTAGCTTTGTGCTGGTAATATAATAGGTGTATAATAGAGATATATTATATTATTATGACCTTACCTCTGAACCTCTTTCATCTTAATGACTACGCTATGTGTTTTGTTGTAACTGAATTTTGGTAGACATTACATTCGTTTACTGGCATTCTAAATATATATTTAAAATATATTTTTTACTTCATCTACTGGTATATGTTGAATAATATTATTTTTGTTCTATGCCTTACATTCCGAACAAAGAAAATTTAAAACTTAATTCTATTGTAATATAATTCATAAGATCATCAAATGTAAATTTGTGTGGATTTGGGTACGTTTTTTTATCTTAAAAGTTGTATTTGTTTTTTATTAGTGACTTTTTTTAAGTTGATTTTACAATTATGATAAATAAATTGGTAGTAGGTACTTTTAAATGTATATGTAGGTCCCTTGAATTACTATTTTTAACCTAGTAATTGTACTGACGTATGTTCTATTATCTAAAGTGGTTTTCATGCAAAGATTTATTAATTTTTTTGTATTTTATCTATTTAGGCATTATGTTGAAAGAATTATTTTATGTAATTCACTAGTATGGTCATGTGAACTGACTGGTAAGAAAAATATGACTTACAAAGAAGCTTTGGATTGTGAAATAGAATCGAAAAAAATGTTGAATGACTTTCCAAATGAGGTAAGTAATAATATTTTATTAAGGGGTTATAATTTAATAAATATGTATTTTATTTTCAGCTTCAAAAGCCCATTTTATATTTATTAACTTTAACAAAATGTTCTTCTTTGAAAGAGCTTATTGAACAAATATTTAATTTTGTAAGATATCGATATTTTGTATCAGAAATTGTAGATGTTGCTTTAGAACAAGATCAATGGTAAGGATAGTTTGAAATAGTGGTAATTTTAAAACAGTTAATATTCATTACTCATTATATAGGAAAACAATCTCATTTGTTTATTTCTTATTCAATTTATAGGTTGAAATGTAGAATTTTAGCAGTTCATTCTCCTTCTGACCAAAAAATTGACGAAAAAAATTATCACCGTACTACACCAAAGTATTATCCATAAACATTTTTTTTTTTTTTTTTAGAATTATAATTTTTTTTTAACTATTTTTTTCATAGAAAATCAAATGACAGTAATTCAAGTACAGCACTTGCATTTTATAATTATGATGTAGAACTGCTGAATTCTAAGAAAATACAAAATCCAAATAATGAACCCATTTACAGAGTAGATGGTGTTCAAATTAGAAGATCAAAAGGTTGTTTTACAAGAGATAGATGTCGATTTTTTATAACTCATAATGTTGAGTTTAAAAATGGTTTGATAACATTAAAGGTAAATTACTTAAAATAATATTTATAATATTGTATCTAATAAGCATGGCTTAGACGATCTTTTTTGGGGAGGGGTGAAACCTAACCTAACCTACTATACATATAACTTTATTAACACTAAGGGTAGACACACACTAAACGGTTGCCTGCAGATGTATTGCAGTATATAGTTGATTATGAGTGCTGCTGCCACACAGTTAGTCCGGATACACTATATACATTTGGTAAGTCTGGATAAAGGTTAGCCGTAAACTAATCGCAAAGAGCGTATGCTGACTGTGGATAGCTACAAAGGAGCTACAGCACTACAAGTGAACAGAACTTTGTGCATATACAAAATTGTATACACAAGGAGTTTAAATATAATTCATTGTTTGAGGTTAACAGGACATCTGTATTGTAAGCAGCCGTATAGTTACCGTGGTGTTTCTCTTAGGGGGGGGGGAGGCGAAATATATTTTTATTCTATCTTAAAAATTTACATCATAGCTAATATAACCTAACTTAACAGGAATTTTATATTTGTAAAATATTAAATAGAACATTTTAGTAGGTACATAAAAAAAGAAATTGTTTAATATAGTTCATGTTATAAAATAATTTTATAATAAATTGTATTTTAATACAAAGTTTAACATTCAGTTTTTCATACGAGAAAATCATTCAATAATTTCATTAACTGGTATACTGATATATATATACTGTATATATTGTCACATAATTATACGACCTCTGGGAGTGGGGCGAATGCCCCCTTTGCCCACCACAGGTATGCTACTGTATAGTTATATGTACCCATAGCTTTACTTAAATTTCTAGTTTTTAGTTTTCAAAATCATTTAAAATGTTATTTTGGTATGTAATTTTGAATATCAATTTCCCTATGATAGAAAAAAGTAAAAAAAAATTGTTATGTATGGGATAAACTCTAATCTTCAGTTTTTGTTTTAACAAAAAATGTCATCAATTTCATTAAAAAATATAATTTCTTTGTGTGCATCAAGTAAACGTAAATTGGACAGTCTAACTTGCTATGTTTAACTCGCTAACTAGCTATGTATGCACTCAAATAATAAATTATTAGGTAAATATTAAAACATAAATGTTCCATCACATGAAGTACAATAAAGTTGTACCTAATATTTCAATTTTACATACGTGAATATGCAATAATAAATATATTTGATATAGTATATCTACTTATAACTCATATTTAAAATTATTATTTTAGAGAAATAGGGAGACTTCCAGCCCAGGGCTGTTAAATGTGCCCATGAATTAAATGGGGGGGGGGGGTGAAAGGCTAGAATTGCCTACTCACCATTGGAGCTGATCCTGGTATCTAATAAGCAATTAAATCTTAGCAACTCATTAATTAGTACTATAATGTGACTTTCAAAATAATAAATAATATGGATATTAATAATATTCTAGGATAGTATGGCAAACAGTATTGCTAACATGAAATTTGAAGACATATTCAGTGGAGAGATTCCTACATTTTCTGAAACAAGAAAGAACAAAATATTATCTAAAAATGGATTAATTAAAAAATCAAATAAAGTAATGAATGGTGAACTATCTAAGAAATCTAATAAATTAATGAATGGTGAAACATCTAAAAAAGATGATAAGGCTATGCTAGAAATGCAAGAAAAACAGAAAGAAGAGAAGATAAAAATGAAAGAAAAGAAAAAGGAAGAAAAAGAAAAACTATCCAAATATCACAAAGAGTGGAGTAAGAAAAAGGAAGATCTTGAGTTGGAAGATTTAAAAGTAAATATAATTTTTAATTTTAAGAATTTATTTTAGAGCATGATAAGGAGGATTATTTTACTCAAAAAAAATCTTTGATTTTTTTGAAATACTAAAGTTTTCAATATTTATATTAAAAAAAAAATAAGTTTATATTTGTTTGGATGGTAATGGTATCTTGCTATTACTCGTTAATGCATTTATTATATTTCATACAATTTAGGATTACATGTGTAATGTCTTTTAATTAGACAATAAATTATGAATAAATGTATCAGGTTCATTTTTTATCTATTATTAATTTATCATTTATATTCATCATATTTTATATTTAAATTAATGTAAAATTAAATTTTTTATAATTTATAGGAATTGCCCAATGTGAATCCAGTGAATTTACGAATTCCCAATGAACATTTTGGTGATTTTGTAATGATATATGAATTTTTCAATAACTTTTGGTCTCAACTTGATGCAGAAAGTTATTTCCCCCAAGGAATGAATATAGAATTGTTGGAAAGATGTTTGGTTGAAGAAGAAATAACTGGTATAAATATAATCTGATTTAGTATATTTAATGAATTTTATGAATTTTACTTTACTTAGATTGAGAATATGTTGATATATATATATTTTAATTATACATTCTATTAAATCTATTTAAATTGTATAGGTCCATTAAATACTCTTGTTCAAGTACTGTTAAGAACAATATTTGACTTTGAAGAGGATGAAGAAGCTGATATGAAAGAAAGTAACAATACAGGTTATTATTTTTCGGTTTTGTTTTCTTTATATTATTTTATTAAACTCTGAAATTTTTAGGCTGGGAACCAGTTTATCATGTAAGTGATGAAAAAACAAAGACTGCTATACAATTAGCAACTAATGTTCGACATTGGGCAGTGCAACATTTGGGCCAGTCATTAAATAAAATATTATTACAACCAACTGTAATTTCTGAAGTATTGAGAATCCATTTACTTTCATCTGGTGGAAAATACTCTGATCGAATGGCCAAGTGGATGTAATTAATTTAAAAATTTAATATATCTAAAATTAAAACAAAACATGATTATAATAATTTATTTTAAGATATCACGTAAGAGGAAACTATTGTCCTTCAGATGATCCTGGACTTTATATTAGATTACAACATCCAGAAGTATTAAAAGCTTTAAGTCGCCATCATGTTACATGCTTATCAATTTGTAAGAATAGTAGGATACATAATTAATTTTTATTTAATATATTATACATTATGTTTAGCTCACAAAATGATTTTAATTAATTGTTTGATGAATCAAATACTAACACTTTCATCTTACCGAGAAGAATTGCAAAATACAGTTATTAAAACTAAAAATGACAAACTAGAAGTAAAAAGTGCATTAGCTGCTGAAAAGAGAAAAACTCTTGAAGTTGTTCAGAAGTAAATTGCATACAGAAAATTTTGAATGTTTTTTTATTTGTTAAAATTTTGTTTTCAGAAAAAAAGAAATGAAATTATTAAATGGTGAAACTCAAAATATAGAAAATGAAGAAAAGGCTATTAATAATAGACTGAATGAATTGAACAAAAAGTTTATTGAAGTGACTGATACAGGCATGACTGCTCAAATATTACCACTTGGTATGGATCGAGCTTTTAGAAAATATTGGTTGTTTGCTTCTATGCCTGGACTTTTTATTGAAGATGATGAACCCTATCCTGGAACTTGCTTACCTAAGTAATAAATAAATTACTTATTAATAGCTTTCAAGTTCAAAGCTTAACCATTTTATACAAATAAAATTTAATTATTCCTCTTGTTTGTTTTAAAAACTATGCATAATTTATTTAATATTAATGTGTAATGTTAAAGATAAAAACAAATATATAATAATAAAATTAATGATATTTAATTTTTATTAATAGAATTATTTATTGTATTTGTTACAGCGGTACTCCTATTAGTAACATTATTGAAAATGATCCTGCAGTGTATATCAAAAGATTATTTGAAATGAACGAAAAAGAAAATGTTGGTGAATCAAGAAGTAGTTTGTCCAATACACCATCAAAAAAAAGACTATTTAATGAGAGTTCATTCATGACTAATGAAATACCTTTAGAAAAAAAAAAATTGCTCTTGTGTTGTTTTGGTCCTGATAACCAGTGTCCGGTACACGAAAAACTTGAACATAGACTTGCATGGGGTTATTTGAACACTCCTGATGAATTGGACAATTTAATCGATAATTTGAACTCCAGAGGATTTAGAGAAGGTGAACTTAAAAAAATATTACAACAAGAAAAACCACGTATTATTTCAAGTATGGAAAAGTGTACTGACTGTCTTTTAAATCCATCATTGGTAAGTAGCAACTATATGCCTATAAATAATCTTGAATAAAATTACTCACATTATTTTTAAATAAAACTTCAATAAAGAATAAAGAAATTGGTGTGTTTTAATTTATGTGGTGGCCTTAAATAAAATATAAATCAATGTTCTCCTTTTTTAAATTAATGTCATGAATAGAATAAGAAACTTTTTCTTTTTTTTTTATTTGCACGTAAATGGTAAATGATTTAGATTAGGAGTCTTTCAAAAGTTTCATGTGTAGATTGAACATTGGAAACTAATATTTTAGAAAGATTGTTTTGTAGTTAACTCTCAAGTTTAAAACCAATATCCAGGAAATTGTCAACAAAAATTTGTGATATTCATTTAAAAAAAATTAATTCTGTAGTTACATTTTTGTTAGCCAAGCGTAAATTTCGAATGGTACTTGGCCATTTCTCTTATTATTATAAAGGGAAGAACTCTCAAATTATTTAGGTTGTATTTTGAAAAATATGCTTTTAGAAATTAAATTTATAAAATTAATTGTTCTAATTACAGATTTGTCATCATTTTAATTTAAAACAAGTTAAATTATTTAAATTTTTAAAAAATAAGGATATTGGCAATCAATTGTTAGTAAAATATCATTTGAAAAATGCATATTTGATGAGTTAATGAATTTAAAAATATTTATTTTAGAAATATTTTGTATTACGAAATCGAAAATATTTTATCTAAAAAATTTCTATTAATTTCTATTCTATTCATGAATTGTTTAAATGTTATTAAATGACATCTCTTAATTTCATATTATAATATGGAAGACTGACACGAGACTAACTAACTAATATATATTTTAGGTTTACTTGAATACAATTTTGAACTCTAGAGTTAAAGAATTTAAAATATTATATATAAAATATATATACTGTATATATGTATACATATGTATATATTTACATAAATATATACATTTTATGACTTCCTAATATTTTATTATCAACTAAATTTAGTTGGGTAGTCACCCAACTAAATTTTTTTAAGATAATATATAATGCCAATTTAATACAAATGATTTTACAATTTTAAAATAGTAATGGTATATTTTTATGATTATTATTACTATTTTAATATATCAATTTCATATTTTATAGATAACCGAAGATGATAAAAGGATGCGACTTCAAAAACGTTTAAAAACTGATTTTTCTGAATATAGAAAACAAAGTGTTAAATTCCTTCGTATAGACCCTGATGTGGATACCTCGATGGAATTAACTCTTAGAGAGTATATTTTGTATTTAGAACGCAGATTAAATACTTCAGCACTTGGTAGTTTTGGGTCGAAGGTAAATTTTAATTAAATTACTAAGTCATAAGTGATTATTATAATATAATGTCATTGCTGTAGATATCTAATAGAGAACAATGGAGAGAAAATATTTTAAATGGCATTTATAAAGTCAATGGTATTTTATCCTGGGGAAATAGAAGTAAAGTGGTAAGTTTTTAATTATTGTTATAGTTTATATTTTGTTGTATTGAACATTTTTTTAACTTAATGTTTAAGTTTAATTTCAAAAATGTTTTACCTATTCAAAAGTGTACATGTTAATTTAATATATTTTTATTTCAGAATGATGAAAACATTGATGAAAAAGTTGGTTTACCAGAACCAATGAGTAAGTAACAAGTTAAAAGTAGTTTTTAATGTGATGTATAATTTATATCACAAATAAATATAAGTACTAGATGTCCATGTAAATAATTTAAATATTTTTTATATAGACTACAAAGATCCAGTTAAATATGTTGTTGAAGATATTAAAGTCGATCAAAAAATTTCAGATTTAGCATCAGTTATCCTTAAAATAGAACAGTCTATTGAACCAAAGTTTCTTAGAAGACCATTGGGTAATTTTATATATTTATAAAAATATTTTGTGTCAGATGTGCTGTATAAATAATATAGGCATTAATTATACAGTATATATACAGGTCTATAAATTAGAAAATTAGGGTAATAAGGCCATAATTCGAAACCATAAATATAAATTATAATACCTTATTATGTGTAATTTATTAGTTTTACGTTTTTTAAATTATGACATTTTAAATAACAGCAGAGAATATATTGGGGGTCCCACTAAAAAATGAAAAAAAGGAATGACTTGTTATGTTAGATATTTACAATTTTTTTTTGTAATGTTTAAAAAATTCTTGCTCTATGATTTCTGATTTTATATACATTAATTATTATTACTTAATAAATATTAATTTATTATCAAGGTTACACAATTTTTTGAAGTTGATAGAAATTATTAAAATTACTTTATTATTTTTTTAAAAATTAGTGAATTCATTGATAATTAGTAGTAGCAAAGAATACAACTTAAATAATTTAAAATTTTTAAAAATAATACCAATCAATTCACCAAGTTTTTATCATGAGTAAATATTTGTTATACTCCAATTTCTTTAAAGAATCTTGGGTTTTGTAAAAAAAAAATTAGATTTAGAAAATAGCAGGTGATCTATTAGTTTTATTATATGGGGGTTTTTTTTTTGTACCTATGAGGAACTTTTCTAACAGAAATTTTACTTCAATAAAAAAATGATAAGATACCTATTTGTTGCTTTTTGGATCTAGTTAATGAGTAAGAAATTTCTGATTTTCTATGTAATTTCCTTAATAGTTAAGCAAAACTGGAAAAACTTAAGGAAGAACAGGGAAGTTCGTGTAAATAATGTTTTAATTGTTGTCAATTTCAAAATTATTTTCTAGAAGTAGTAACATTTTTTTTTAAACAGGCACAATTATTGGGCTACTTTTAGGTATTTTATGTTCTAGTTTTTTTGCGTAATTTTTTTCTAGTAGTTACAATGTGGATATAATTGTTTGACTTATCAAAAATGTTTCAGAATTTAACAAGTTTATTTTAAGTTATACTTATGAGTGACAAAAAAAAAAAAAATAAGAGTATTGTAAAATTTTTTTTTTATAAGAATTTTATCATCAAATTTCGACTAAAATTAAAATATATGATAGCCTTTCAAAATTTGTGTAGTTGGAATTTCTCTCAGAAACAATTTGGTTAACAAAGATTAATCATTGCATACAGATATACATTAATTTCCTTTTCTACATCATTCCTTCCTACCTTCTCACCTATAACAGGGGCCGCCAATTGTGTGAAGGATATCTATCTTTTTTTTTAAAACATCAATCTCTAATTATTCATATTTATATAGTTTTTTACATCAATAATAGTGTGCATAATCATGTTGTTTACAACTTAACAAAATTATATGTATTTTACTGTTTGTGTTTAGGTTATGACAAAAAAGAAAAAATGAATAGTGCAATAAATCCACAAATGGACAAATGGGAAATGTCCTTGATGAGCTCTTTGAATTTTTCACAACTATTTTTACATTTAGTGACATTGGGTATAAGAAACAAATATATTATATAAAAATATATCTATTGCATATTAGGAATAATATAAAATTAAATTAAATGTTTTTTATTATTAATTTGATTATTTAGAGAAGAGTATAGAATGGTCCAAATCCATAATGAAAGTTAATTGTGTTTTATGCCGAAGTAATAAGGATGAAGATGTTATGCTGCTATGTGATAACTGCAATAAAGGACATCATATTTACTGTTTGAAACCAAAACTGAAGGTATGTTGTTTCTTTATATTTTTTCAGTTATGGTTACTATGAAAATATAATTTAGGCATAAAGAAGGGTTGGTGCGATTAAAAAAATTAGAGTGGTTATACTGTAAAAAGTTACAATTAGGTACTTAAGTTAGGTTGATTCTCATAAATTAATTAGTGAGGCGGAACTTGTAATTTTTATTGTTAATTAAATTATTAAAATTTGCTTTATTTATAGAAAATTCCCCAAGGTGATTGGTTTTGTCAAAAGTGTAAACCTATTTTGAAAAATGAACAAGAAGAGGACGAGCCTGAAGAAAAAGTGTAAGTGATTTACTATTATCTGTGATAATTTTGTTTTGTTTTGAATTAAACCTGAATCAAAAAATCTGTTGAATTTTTAATGATGGAAAACGTTTCAACTTTTGTTTGTTTATTTATACACAAAATATTGTTCTTTAACATTTTTATAAACAATTACAATACAATTACATTACAATATTATTATTGATAATATACAAGTGATCCTTTTTTTATTTTTATTTTTAAATTTAATAAATATATGATGTTTCAAAATATTGGAAATTAGTTACAGATAATTTGGAAGAGGTCATATTTTATTAAATTTTAGAACAGTTTTCCAGAAAGTTGTAAAAATTGCTGATAAGTTATTCCATTTCCATTGCTGAGGAGGAACATTTTTACTTATTTGTTATATATCACAAACCCCCCAACAATTTAAAACAAATTTTCACGCCTATATAATATAATAATATTCTATCAATAAACAAATACAATATATAAAATAAACAAATAAATTTTGTTTTTAAATTAATACATTTCAATTATGTTATTTTTATTTATAATATTAAGAAATTTCTTATTTCACAAAAATTTAATTGTTTTTTTTTTTTTAAAATCTCGTTACTGTTAATAGTTTTATGATAAAAGTATTGCTTTCAAGTTCTCAGATTTTATTTTTGAAAAATGGCCAATGATTTTGGTTTACTCAATGCTGATATTATTCTATATACATTAATAAATGAAAAAATTATAATTTATTTTACCATGTATTTTTTAAGTATATATGTTATAGTTTAATGTTGAAAATAGAATAATGTCAATTTTTCATTCATGACCAATTTTGTGCTGTTGATTAATATTATAGTGAATTTATCTTTAATCAAACCTATAAGTAAGAATGCTGACAGTAATTATTCATTGGTTTTTTTTTTTCAATAATTACATTTTTAAGTGAAAAACAATTGAATTTTACTTACAAATTTTAATATTAAAAAAAAACCAATGCACAATGTACTTACTTTTAACATGTTGATTGTGTATCTCACTGTAGTTCTTACTGTAGTGTGTACATGACTTTAATCCATATCCTTTTAATTACTCTAATTAATAATCATATTTCATTAAGCTACGCGCAGAGAATATTAGACTATTTACATTATATATATTGATGCCAATCAGTATGCAATTAATGGGTTGGATTATATAATTCACTCAATTTTTTTTTAAAAAAACACAAAATTGGGTCTGCTGAATGAAAAGTTGACATCTAATTTTCTAAATTGTTCATAACATATACATAAAGGTAAAATATATAATATTTTATCCAAGTCTGGTTTTTAACTGTGATTCATTATAATTTCAAAGATTAAATACATTTTTGAACTGGTTAACAGTTATTTAAATACTTGTTTCCTGTCACCATAATATTTAGAACCATTAGATAGTGGTTAATGCTTCTTTAACCTTTTTCTTTGAAGCAGTTCTAATTGTTCCGAGACTTTAAAGAAAAAAAAAAATTTGTTTTCATAGTGTAAGATAGCAAATTGAGCATCAAATTAATATTAGTAGTACAATTATATATTCTAAGCGGAGTTAGGGTTCTATACAAGTATACAATTTATTTTATTTACTATCACTAACTCTTGAGAAAGTTATGCTCAAAAAGTTTCATATAGCAACTTTAAATATCTAAAATTATCTTAAATAACTTGCTAGGTAATGATTATTATCCTTTTGATAGGAAATAACTAGAATTAAAATTAATAATTATAAAAAAAGTGAAATAAAATAGTGTAAATATTAAACAAAATTATGTCATATACTTACAGAATGTGATTATAAACTATTATCTAAGTTAAGAATGCATTCTAGGGCTTCTGTGGTTAATTTTATAATGTCCATCGTGCCTCTATGAAATAATTGATATTTATTGCCTACTAATAATAATCAATTTCAATACCGAGGTTCAGCCAGTTTTTTTTCTATCAGATGTGATTATTGTGACTTGAATTTCAATTATACTTTTCTGCTTTGGTTTTATTAGAGCTTTCAAAAAATACTTTTAGTTAAATAAGTTATAAATTGCAATGAATAACTATATTAACATGTCTAAATGTGTTATATATAAAAAAAAATCATGGGGAATCTCCAAAACTATTAATTTGTGTTCAATATGAATGTTTCAATTTTATTTTAAAAAATAATTGATTATAATCACTTATAAATACTTACCCTCTAATATTATTAAAAAAAATATATATATATTAATAGTAATAAAAATTCAAGTGATTATGGATCATAAAAAAAACTGTCTACAATTTTCCACTAGAAATCTTGTTTCGATCATCAACTTTAGGAGTGATTCTAGTAACAAAATGTATGCGTTTGGTGATTGGCTATTTTTTAAATTTTTCTTTCAATTTTCTTGAAAACAATTTGGATAAACCAGAGAAATGTACACCATATCTGTTTTAATTATTTTTGATTTTGTTTTTGTTGTAGTAAATTAAGTTTAAAATAATTTTAGACTTACAGTTTTTACTGAATAATTTCAGAACTTTCTGGTGGTTTTTGTTTATTTGAATTTATGTTGATGATTTTTTTTAAGTCAACAACAGCACTAAAAAATTGAACACTTGTTCATCATAAGTTGTAGTTTCTAGTAAAAAAAAAAATTGAGCTCAATATAGTATTTTTCATTAAATATCTAGAGTTAAAATTTGTATGGAAATCATAAAATATTGGCACTTTTTAACATGTTTTAACATGTTTAGCTTATTTTGCTCAAAATTGTGTTTTTATTATTAATAGTTTATTGTTGTGCACAGATGCAAAACACATTTCTCTATATATTTTACCTTACAACTTTCCACCTAAAACAATCAATAACACATCGATCAGAGCCTACCTTTTCTTGGTATACTATATTTGATAATAAAAAGTTAGATGATGTATTATTACAAGAATTAAAATTGTACAACTAAGCTACTTAAGTTTTAATAGAACTTAATAGTAAAATAGCCACATATATTACCCCAATGCTTTAATATTTAAACATCATACAAATAGTTTATTCAAGATATTCATTTTTTTCTGTTTGGTTGTTTCTCCCGTGTCCAATTATGTTATTGATGTAAATTTACTACATTACAAATATAAATATGACACTCTTTTTACAACTTTTTATTCTTAATAGAAATTTTAATATTAATTGAAAATGTTCTAACTATATTTAAAATATTTGCTAAATCTGAATTAATATATTTTATTTAATGTGTATATGATTGATGTACAATTGTTTACAATTCATTTATTAAGTGTTGATTTAAAATTAGAAATTGCTACTTAAAAATATAGTTTTTAGAATACTTTTTTTTTTTTTTAAATTTATCATTGAAGTATAAAATAATGATAAATCCCAATAATGTTACTAGATTTTAATTTTATTTATGATTTAGTATTACTTTTGTTTTTGTTTTTTAGGAAATTTGATATTTGTCATATTTGTAAAGAAGAAGGAACAGTAATAACTTGTGATGATTGTTCAAAGAATTATCATTTAGCTTGTTTAAATCCACCTAAACGGGCACCACCAAAACGAAATTGGACATGTTTTAGTTGTCGACAAACATCGTGTAAAGGTAAAACTATTGTTTTAAAATCAAAATCTTTGGTTTTCATAACCCACTTAATATATATTTTAGAAGGTTACTCAATAATATTTTGTCTATAATCACAATATCGTTAAACATTACGTATATTCAGTTAACAGGACATGTTAGTAACTACACTATTAATCAATATTTTCAAATGATTTATAGCAAATTTCATTATTTTACCAATAAGTAAAATTTCACACTAGTTTGGTGGGTAATCATGTACCTATTTATAAAAAATATGGTCCAATATAAATGGATAATTCTGTTTATTTTGAATATGATGGTTATAGAAATAAACTAAAAATTATCACCTGGTCCTATTTCAATCTGTTGAATATTATTTACAGATGAATTGGAACAGGTTGAGGTGGAAAGGTATAGCAGGCGTAAGAGTTCGCAGGCTGCCACTGCCAAAATATCTGAATTTGCTCGACAACTGTTACATGCATCAGCCAGATGTTATGGTCTGTCTCTGGTGTCATAATATATAATAATCTAATTTCAGTTTTGTAAAAATAATTACTGTAATCTCAACACATAGATCCAGGCTGTATATTGAATTTTTAGTATATATATGTATATATACAAGTATATGTATACCTGTATATAAAAATTATAAATAATAAACTTCTATTTACAAGCTTTGTAATCAAATTATAGTAATATTTTAAAATACATTCTATTACTCTTGGATCTGTATTTTATTATAACATTTAAATAATTCTATTGCATGTATATATTTTTATTTGAATGTTATTTTAATTGGCTTGATTTTATTTAAATCAGTTGGTCGTTTAAGTAGGTGACATTAGTTGATAATAATGTTATAAATTATGCTTTGTTAAAAATAATTATATATCCAATGACAATATATAAGACTCATTTATTTATGTATAGGCCATTTAAAAAAAAAATAGCATGACTAGATATTTGTGATAAATTAATAATATTTACATTGTTATTTCATATTCTTTCATAATCTTAGCTCAATGCCATTGGCACATGTGTTGGTACAGTTAATCATGAATTTTGCATGGACATAATTTATTTAAATTTACTGTCAAAATTAAAAAAAATTGTTTTTTTTTTTAATTCATTACTATAATTAATTATTTTAGGTGAAGAAGAAAATATTACCGAAGAAAAGAGCCGAAGAAGAGCTAGACATTCAGAAGTAACTACTTTGACTACATGCAATGACCTACCTTTGGACAATGCTCTTTTGCAATTGGTTTTAAACCAAATCATGCATCATCCAGAAGCATGGCCATTTTTACGGCCAGTTACTAAATCTCAGTGCCCTGATTATCATACAATTATAAAAAATCCAATGGATTTAGGCACAGTAAAATACAAACTTAATATGCTGGCATATAGCACAAATGCCGATTTGTTGAGTGATATGGAATTGATATTTGAAAATTGCTTCTACTACAATTCTGAAAACTCTGAAGTATTTAAGTAAGTTGTGTAATATAATTATTACAATATATTTGAGATCATTAATACAAATGTATTTATATGTATTCATTAGATGTGGCGAAATGGTATATAATTACTACAAACAAATATGCCAAGAAGTTAACTTGAAGAATTACAGTGAAGAAAGTGACTATCATCCTCCTGGAAAAAAATCAAAACATAGTTTGTAGATGTAATAAAATTGGATTGGTTTCTAGTTGACATTAAATAATGTATTTATATTAAAGTCTTAGTGAATACTAATGATGTGTATAGTATATTGTCCTAGTATAAAATAGTTATTCATAATAACACCTTCATTTTCTGCCAATTTAGATTTTCTAAACATGGCTGTGAAATTCTTAAACCAATCTGATTCTATTTGAGAAATTTCATTAAAAATTAAATTTTAAAATTATAAAACGAATATTTGTTAAAGTAAGTTAGTGCATTATAAATTAAATTAAGAATTATTTTTTTCAATTGTACAATGATGGATATTTTTTGAAAAATGATTAAACTTGTATTTTGTTTACTTTCTGTAATGTGCACTGTATGTTAATGCATTACCGTAGATTATAAAACTGTACAAGACTTACAAAAACCCATTAATGTTGTACTTTTATTATTTTTAAGCTATCATAAGTTGTATTTTATTGTATATATATATATATATATATATAAAAACAATTTATTTTAAACAGTTCAACAACTACCACCATATGTACTACCATACATAATAAGTTTATATGAAACAGTACATCAAAATACTACTCTATTTTAAGTGATGAAAATTATGCTCTTTTTGAATAATTATTATTATTTTTTATAGAATTATTGAACTAAATGAGTTCAATATTCAATACAATTATCATTTATTTTGATATAAACCTTCAATGTTTGAATTTTTTTTTAATTTAATATGTACATTTTTATTTCTCGGCTCAAAACTATTTTGTCCTTTGTAATATATAATGAATTTCTTTTAATAGAGCCAAGTGCCTACGTTTTGTTAATAATTATTAATTCAATAAAAAGAAAAGGAAAATTTTACCTTTCTATGTAACTAAGTGTTTATATATTAGATAAGCATATAGTCCATCTTTATTTTCTATATATTTAAAAGTATTTTAATTTTAATTTGTGTAATTCAATTCCTATTTTAATATTTTTTTTACTTAATGTTAATGTTAGTGTTTTATTTTTATTTTTTAAAAAAAAACATTAAAGAATACATTACGTTTTTTTTTTATTTTAAACAAAGATGGTGTTTTATTTTATCATTTTCAGCAACTTTAGTAAAATTACTGGTCTGTTTTAAATACAGTTTATTGTATTATAATATTTCAATACAACAAAATAATACATGGCTCATTAATTTTTTTGTAGATTGGTACAAACCGTAATGTCAAACCAATACTGTTTATTAAAACTGAACAATTTTGTATTAATTAAATGAAACATGTTCTAATATTCAATAGTTTTAATATGATAAGACTTGATATGTTGAAAGAGAAAAGAAAATATTCAATGTGCGAGTATGAGGTTTTTTTTTGAAGCCTAACATAATTTAAGTGATTTTATTTAAGAAGTTTACAGTTGGCACTGACTTACACATAATATTAGTGTTTTTTTCGATTTCATTTTAATTATCTGACTGGTGTGATGAAACAGTTATAAATTGACTACTCTTCAATTTTAATTAACAAGGTTAATTTGGATGGATATCAATTGAGCATTTTAATTAAAATAATAATATGTAACTATATATTATGATATAATATACTATTTACTGGTAGTTACACAGTAAAAATAAATTTTACTTTGAAATTTATATTGTATACAAATTCAAGAATATTGGTTTGCTCAATTTCTAGTTTACCATAATTATTATAAATTCTAACGCATCAAAATAATCCTTTGATTTTGAATAATTGATAACTTAAACCTTAAAAGTAATATAATGTAATAAATATAAAATAATTTGGATTTTGTTTAGAGTTTATTATTAGCTATTTGTAGAATGAAGTCATGCAAAGGCTGGTTTACACGCAACGACTTATTGTACGTTTTATCGGACACAATAAATTGAATCAAGTAAAACAGAACATATATACAGCAAATCTTACGTTTTATCGAATCGGAATGAAATCCAAGATTGGATCGAAATACTGATGAGCGTGGATTTATTTTCCGCGAGATTGAACGAGTTGTTACATGTAAACACAGGTTCGATAAATTGTACAACTTCGTCCGTTTTTGGTTTTTAGTTCTCTTCGAGATCATATAGTTTCAACAACTTAATTTAACCTAATTTTTTTTTTCAACATTACCATACCAGCTTTTCTGATACAAGTTTCATCTTTTTTTATGTATGGCGTTACCAATTTCAACAATCGATTTTAAGTCGGAGCAATTCTTTTCCTGGCATCTTTGGATAACATTTTTAATTTTTCCATAATTATTGCCAACAGACAACTATGGATATTGTAATTTAAAAAGAAATCTTCCAAAATTGTGACAACAGCGCCATCTTTTTGTTGGATACCTAACCATTTAATCAGCTGATGTACCGAAGTACAATCAATGAGCAATTTATAGGTGTTGTTTTAAAATCTGTATGTACTTGTAGTACTTAGTTTCACATTATTTCTGTTTATAGAGGTCAATCAATTTTCTTTTTCCTGTGAAGTTCTGCAAATAAAATCTACGGTGAGTAAATTTTATTTTATTATTATAAATGAAGTAAAAAAAAAAACACAGTAAATGTTTGTAGATGTTGAACCTATTCAATTATAAACTTGTATAAAGATTTATTTTTGTCCTATTTATACGAGTATACCTATTCCGTAGTTTGTATTTCATTATAATAATATTCCACAATATTCTAGCAGTACAAAATATGTATATTTACTCAAAATAAATTTGATTTTACTATTAACGAATTTGTTATAAATATTCTTGAGCATCTATATGTTTTACGATGTATATTATCTTATACATTATGGAGATGTTGAAAATTAGATAATTTAAAATTTTCGTTTAGTAAATTAATTTAAAAATTTCACAATTATATGCTTTTAATTTTAATATTGGTGTTGGAATTGGCCTAATTGATAATTGGTTAAACTTTAACCGTTAAAGTTTTGTCTCTTAGGTTAAACAATTTTTCAAAATATCGAAAAATGCCAAATACCTACATTTATTTTCCATGCTCTCAATTCGACCGATGTCTCGCAGTCGAATTTTCCTATTTTCTGTTGAAATACACTTGGTTTTGAAGTGCCCGTTTGCGGAGTTAAAATAATGTATTATTACTGTGTAGTAACAGTGTATGGAAAGCTAGATAAATGGACATTTGGTACCTGTGAAAAACAAGATATGCAAACAATTAGTCCCCCCATTCTTTTTTTTTTAAACACTTCAACTACTAAGAATCTGATTATCTCAATTTTATTTACAGTACCTATATGCCCTAATATTCTGACTTATAATTAATGAAATATTAAGTTTGTGTAATATAATGTGAAAAATATATTAATTTTTTAAATTTAAATTCAAGATTAATAATAAGTACCTACAAAAGTATTAAATAAAATTGTTTAACAAAGTTGAAATCAATTAATTTTTAATATGAAATTCATGTATTGCGAGTACTGATGGTTGATGATCCTTGGGAAAGTTATTCAATTTTGCATAAATATATGATCCTAGTATGTATATTAAGACCATTATATAACTTTGAGGTGGTTTTCACATCAGATAAATAGGCAATTAGTAGTTAACAATATTTAACAGACCATACGTATTGCCTTTATCTCTCATACAGAAGCGACAGTAAAAAACCATGTCAACTGACAAGAACAAAATAGCAAAATTACACATTACAATGTAGTATGTTAATATTATTTAATAAGGTTAGATTATGCTCAACACTGGCAATATCATATTGTTTCAATGTGAGAATATTTATTATTATCTATGAGAATAATCTAATGGCAATGTTATTGCTGATTGCTAGTTTCTAATTACCTATTGCTCTGTGAGAACCGTATTTAGACTAGAAAAAATAAATCAAAAATAGATTATTTTATGTGGAACAGTGAAAAATTTAAGGAGATAAAGGATTGTAAAGTTATTTTTGGTGAGAATATAACACTAATGGCCACGAAGAACACTTGCATTTGAAGGGATTGGTGAAGATTTTCCTAATTTTCTCCAAGTGTTTATACAATATTTTTAGTTCTTTATTAGACACATTAAATTTTTTTTTATATTTCAATTTTTTTATTGCAAGCAAATTTGAAATATGTTCAAAAATACAATCATATTTTTTTATGATTTTCAGTAAAATAACAGAATTTCTATTTCTAACATATTCAAGTAAAGAACCTGAAGAATAATAATTTATTTAAAAATTGTAATCCATCAAACACAATTCCTATTGTTATGTCTGGCTCTTTTAGATTTACATTAGCTAAAATATACATAGTCACCAATCAATCTTTTAAGCAATTTGTTTAATTTGTTTTTATAGATGACTGAAGAAAAATTAAGTAAGAGAATGATTTTCCCATACACATTCACTGCTAAGATTATTCAGTTTCCATTCAAAATGCATATGAAACATCATTGGATGTTCCCATGGTTTATGGGAGCGGCTGTATTAGTTTCGCCCATATTCTATAAAATACAACAATTCGGTAAAATTATTTTTTATAATATATCAGTAGATAAATTAATTTAATCTTATAAAACATGTGTAATTTTTTTTTTCCAGCCAATTGTGAAGCCAATATTAAGTTGTGGGCTGAGAAAAGAAGAAAAGATGAGGAACACTATAAACATAAATGGGATTAATTCATATTGTGAAGCCGCGTAGAAAATAAAAACAATTTATTCAATATCTAATGTTATTTCTAATAGTATTACTACAAATTCATAAACATTAAAAAAAAAAAAAATAGATGTAATAATTTTAATAATATGTAATAAAAATCATATTTCAGGTGAAGTTTCTTTTACTTTGGTCCACTTTTCGCTGACTTTCCATAACCATTCTACATCTTTTTGATTTCGCACTTGATGTGGCATTGGTATTATTTTAAAATTGCTAAAATAAAAATACATAAATATTAAAAATCTAATATATATTTTGTAACATAACTTTGTTACTACTAATCATAATTAACGATAGCTTGCACCTTTAGAAAACATGTTACTTATTTTAAGGATAACTATTATTAATTGAAAGATAATTAACCACACTCTCATCAATACTTTATCTACACGATTATAAAACAAATAATACCATTAATATTGATAAAATTAAATTATATAAAACTTATATTGGAATTCATATTTTCATGAAATTATGTATAGTTATATATTGATATATAATATTATTTTGTATGCTCTTAACCACCTATTATGTTTTGTGTTTTACATTATAAAAAATGGCTCGTTCTCATTATTTTATGATGTATAAAACAAAAATTAATATTTAAGATACTTGTGCTAAAAGCTAACAGGTTACTCTACACAATATAATATAATTGGCTAATGACAGGTTGATAATAAATAAGAGTGATGGGGATATACATTTGTACAGCACTGGTGGAACGCTAATTATATTATTTTTTTTACAAGAATGAAAATTACCTGATAAATTTGCCAGTGACATTTTCGAGTTCTGGATCTAAAGCCGCATGTACTAAAGTCTGTGAACCTTTAGCTGGTGATTTTAAAACCAACCATGCCATTGGTTTTATAAAAAATCTAGTGAAACTGTTATAAAATGGCAAATGTCTTACAATGTTTGTTGTACAAATACCAGGATAAATGGCATTTACCGTTACTCCAGTATCTTTAAATAGAGAACATAACTCAGGATTATATAAAATGTATAATTATAAGTAGGTACTTAATAATATTAATAATTATATAAAAAATTTTATTTGAAATTACGAACAAACCTTTTAAGATTTCGGCTAGTTTAGATGTAAACATAAGATTCGCTAATTTACTTTGGTTAAAGGCCTCTTCGTCATTATAAGATATAGATGAATTTAAATCTTCTTTGTTAATTTTAGAACTTTGATGTTTAAGCATTGTTACATTGACAATGCGACTAGGAGCACTTTGTTTCAAACAGTTCAAAAGCAAATTTGTTAACAAGAAATGGCCCATATGATTAACTCCCAGATGAGTTTCGATTCCTTCTCTAGTTACAGACTTTGGACATCTCATAACACCAGCATTGTTGATTAATACATCCAATCTCTTAAATTCTAATTTAATAGGTATTATTAAATAATGTTAGGTCATATGATTATTTTAATACAAATTCAAACCTTTTTGAAAATTTGTAGCAAATTGTCTAATGGATTCTTGTGATGCCAAATCACATTCTCGACAGTATAGACGTTTATTTCTGGAAATCAGTGCTAATTCAACTCGACTCTGTTCTACGGACATCATCCAGTTTAAAGAAGTGTATAATATTTAATATTAGTATAATAAAATGACTGGTCCACAGACTTAGTCATTAGATTATGATCTATGAATTAAGCATACAAATATTACAAGAGGCGTGTGTTATTATATTATTATTAAATATGCATTTTTGTTATTAAAATTTAAAGATTTCATTAGAAACTTGTAATTTACAATAGTTTTTAATATTTATAAAAACTACTAATTTATAATGAATGATTTTTAATTAAGCATAAATTTAACATTAGTAATTGTCACATTTAATAAATAGGCAACATCATTTTTAAATGTTTTTATGGAAGTTTAATAGCACACATAGGTACATAACTATATTAAATTAAATATGTTCATATTAACCTTTTCACAACTTTGTAAATCCCGACAAGCCATTACAACGGTGGCATTTTTTATTGCCAGTAATCTAGCGGCTTCTTTCCCAAGGCCCGTATTTGCACCTGTAATGATGATCACTTTATCTGCAGCTGATGTCTTGATTTTGTAATTTTTTCCCGATATAAAGTCTCTAGAAGTAGAACAAAAATAACGACATTAATTATGTCATGTCTGTCTGGTAATTCAGAATTGAGTGTTTTTGACTTAATCATACTTGATTAAATATGTACTGCCACAGATTGTACCAAAAACGCTAACGTAAATCAAAGGCTTTGGTATATTGACCATAGTGTTCAAATAAAACGACGAAATTTTATTTTAAAACTGAAATGAATCAACAATTTAAATTGATGAATTTATAAAATAAATTATAATTATTTTATCCTGGATCGATTCTTCTCAATACACGGGTTATCACTCTGTACCGGGGAATGCCAGCAGCTGCTGTTGTGTGAATGATAACATTCAATCATGTGTGTTTAATTTTCGGTCGGTCACTGGCGGTTGAACAGTTTCTCGTGTAACGTGTTAGCAGTTTGTAAAGTTTAGTATTTTGTACACGAGTTGCCGGACCCTCTCTATAGTGTCTATCCAAGGCCGTGGGCAGAACAACGGACACACGAGCGGGAGCCCTAAAATAAAAACTTGGAAAATTCAATTCTGGAGCGACCGTTTTCTGTTAAATAACATTCCGGAACCTAACATTTTTGTAAAATTAATTTTATGAAAGCAGGTGAAATTATGTTTTGCCAACAGAATATTTCGTTGTTAAATAATTGTTGGTGAATAACCTAAATTCCGATAAAATAATAATACAAAATACAAACATGCAAATTACATTTTGAGAACTCTATATTAAGATGAAAGCAGCAAATGTCTGGAAAATAAAATCCAATCACAATAATTTTCTATGCAATCCACGGTTAAAGACGAATGACTGTAATTTCTTGGAAAATAATTGCATTGTTAGCCAATTTCACTAAATATAAATCTAGTGAATCCTAATTTGATCTTTTTTTTCCGACTTTTCCATATGTTGTCTATATCGGTTCTACAACCTTTGAATTTAGTATTCGGCGAAATTCCGCCAAAAACGTACCTTTCCCTTTTACGCCAAATGAAAAACAAAAAATAATATTACAATTATTAATTACATAAAAATAAATTAAAAATTATAAAGTTTTTTCTATTTATAAAAATTGTGTTTACTATTTATTGAATACAAGGTAAACATAGTTTTTAATACTCATAACGATTGTTTTATCACAATTTTTTACAGACAAAATATCAAAACTATAATAATTTTTTTTTATTATTGTCTGAGTTAAATTTAAACTTAGGTTCGCATTATTATTTTTATAAATTTGTTTTGTAATACAATAATACTAATCTATGATACAATCGTACTGTTTTTACATTGTATTCAATAAATAATAAACGCAATTTTTATAAATAGAAAAACTTTATTATTTTTAATTAATTTTTTTATCTAATTAATAATTGTAACATGCCTATACAATTATCAATTATATTCAAATATTAGACTAATTTTTTCTCGTTTGGTGGAAAAGGGAAAATGACGATTTTGGCGTAAAAAAGGAATCGGCCAATTTATAATTAGGCGGAAATGAGAATCCGTGGAAAAAGGAAGGGTACATTCTTGGCGGAAACGGGGAACTCCCGGTAAAAAAACTGTATCGATATTCAACAGAAAGTATTTCAAACAATAATAAGAATTGTATAAAACAAACTACGTACCTCAAAAAATATACTAGATTTAAAGTCGCCAATCGAGCAGCATTTATCGAACAATATCGGTACTTGTACTTTATATTGGGCAATCTTTTGTTTGTAAAATATCACGTGTACATTTTTTATGGACGTAAAAAACGAAGTTTTACCTATGCATTTATACATTATTACAGGTATTAGAAATTTCCAAAAGCATTGTTTTTTCGTTTCTTTTAGCGCATAAAGGCTTGAAAACCGGAGTGTAATTTTTACGAACACGACCAGCTGCTGATCAAACGGATGGTGGTGTGGGGGGGGGGTTGGGGTAATGACTATTGCATATTATTATAAAATACCGCGTATACCCACCTATAGGCGGGCAATTACGGCCGTTTCCGATCGATCCCCGAGTGTATCCGAATTCTTAATTGTTATTAGATACTTCGTGACGAAAGTTTCGCACGGCGCGGCGTGTCGAGAGTGTTTTGACGTATTTCCACGCGTGCAGTTGTAATAAATTTAAGGCCGGTCGTTTTCAAACGGAAACTTCCAACGTGGTAGGTATTATATTAACGGCACGGCGGCGGCTGGTTTAATGGTTATAAACTTTAGTGTCGATGTATAATAATAATATTATTATAATGTACGCACTATGCCGTTAGCTCACAGGCAGCTGTACGTCGGATATATTGTGTTTCCGTTCACTAAACATCGGTTCGACAGCTGCTCCAGCTAATGCTACTACAGTCTGCGGACACTGCTGACGGCTGTGCTCCTATTTTCGATTTGGGGATTCGGGAGATATAGGATATATAAATAGGAAATTTGTAATTGTATAATTTATGTCTCTGTACATCTTGATTATGCAGTTTCATTCACGTTTGTGTATGAATCCAGGTCGAAATAATGGCACATACATTTTTTTTAACGCTTTCATCTAAAAAAAAAAAAAAAAGCTTCATATGTCCTCCTATGTTTTTATTAGTGGCCGAAACTGTGGTCCGTACATGATACACGCTGTTGGTCGTGTGATCGTCGTATAAAACTGCATTTTTGCATCATTTGAGAGGGCTTCTAGAACACGATGAGCTAGGTACTTAAATCATAAAAACATCTATACATCCCATTCTAATTGTTTGCTGAATTTATATTTGACACTAACGTTTGTCTGTGCGACATTTGTGCCTAGATATTTGAACTGTTATACTTTTTAAATTTGTATCCCTTTCAAAAAGGGTCTAAATCGTATACATCAGAGTAAGCTTTCCGGTAGAATTTGTGTACACAGTATAAAAAAATAAAAAATAAACGTCTTTGTAAAACCAATACATTCTTCGCTACACTCAGAATCTAAAATCAATGAGCTATCACCGTTTATAATATAATCAACTAATTATTATAATAATTTTTTAGTGCAACAAAATATATTTGCGTAGGTTGTAATAATAAATTAATATTGTTAATATGAACGACGCGATGAGATAATTAATATTTACATTCCTTACAAATATAACACGAGTTAATTCGTAATAAAAGCAAAACCAAAATACGACCAACGAGGGGGTGTGGGGGGTTGAATGCCACGTTGAATCCCTCCTCCGTGAGTACGCCCACGGCGAAGAAATGAAATATTGTCCCTATCTAATAAAATATATATATTGTACAATAATGACGTTAAGATAATAGGATAAAACTTATTTTGACAGTACCCGAGCGTGTGCCGTGCGCGCGTCGTTTGTTACGCGAGATCGAACGCGAATACCCGAACATCGCGCATGCGAACAATTTACCAATGAGGAACGCAAGTTCATAGACGCGACTATCGAGATTGCCAACGGCAAGAAAGATGCGCGCGCCGGACAGCAAAATCTGATACTGACGAGACTAACGAGACCGACGAATTGCGGTGGCCGTTGGCCGGCCAGTTGTCACACGACGGCCAACCGGTTCAGCGTCTTGCTTTAGTCAAGTTCATTTCAAATGATCACTCCGCGTTATGTTTCATTTATTTTTGGTTTCGTATCGGATGCAATATTTTATGTTGTAATTCGACAATGTATAATACTAATACTAACGTTTTACCCGAAACCGTTCCGTATACCACAGTGATGTTTCGGGACTCTGGTTCGGTTTGTTTTTATTTTTTTTTTTTTTTTTTTTTTTTTAGTATTTAATATTGAGTAGTTAGGTTAAGGTTACACAATTTAAAATATTGAACCGGTTGTATTACCTATTTATTTGGTATTTATTATTACTTAAGTATTTCCTTTTTTTCCAAAACTTATATTAATCTTTTATTTATGATTTTTTTTTCTTAGTTATCGCCATTGTATTTAGAAGTTGTATAGGTCTGTATTTTTCAGTGAAATACATATCATTCTCGGGTTTAGGAATAGGAATTATTATATTCATGGGTTTTTTTTTTTTTTTTTTTTTTTTTGAAATTGTCCCAACAGGGAACTTTGGGTTTATGATTGTATTGTATAAAACTAATGATTGATATTACTGCTGCTGAGGTTATTATGTCAGTTATGACGTAACAGAATAACTGTGTTTCCGATTTGTGATGGGTCGTTTTGTTGAATTTAGTGATTTCCGTTATGTGTATTTCTTGAATTCTGATGAGATCTTATAATTAGTGTTTTTCGTTCCATATCTTGGATGAGTTCTTGATGAAGATCTTCAATGAAGCATGACAGACTTGAGTCTTTATATCGGTAGGAAAGGATATTTTTGAGAAAATACTCATCCAAGATTATGCTGACAAGTTTAATGAAAAAAAATAGATGAATAAATTTATAAATGTATACAAGTTTTAAAAATACCAACTAAATCAATACTATAGAAAAATCTGAAATAACACATAAATGCATATTTACATAATTGTTTTATTTTTACATTTAAAATTTGAACAATTTAAACAAATTAATCTACCAACTAAAATTCCTGGTTACGCCATTAATTAAAACATGTACATTAGAAATCATCTTATTTAAACGATATTTATGTATAAGTATAAACTGTAATAAAAAAAAAAAATGCATTTAAATACCTACCATTAAGCAATTAAAGTTCGTATAAACATTATCTTGATAAATAAATAGACATAAATATATATTTTAAAATACAAAAGATAACAATTTTTTTTTACTTTGGAATACAAATTTTCTAAAAAAAAAACAACAAACTTCAAAAAAAATTACCCGTGATAAATAAATTCTTTGTTCATTTAAAACTTTTTGTGATAGAATACTTATTTATTTTATTCGTACCCTCAATTCCTTTGTGTTTTTTTATTTTTGATTCTAAATGATTGCGTTTAAGTTTAATATTAATAATTGTTTTATTAATAATCGAGACTAATAATAATTTTTCTAAAAAAGTGTAAACAAAAAAGGAAAAAAGCTGATACTATTGATCGGTGTGCTACCCAACATTTTGACTTTTTTTTTTTTGGAAAATATTAAGTCGGTCACATTTTTCCGTTCTCCATTAAAATGTATTGAAATCAATTTACGAAGTTCTTCTGAGTAGCCCAAGATGTATAGAGTAATTTAATTTATATCTGTACCGTTCATTTATAAATAGTAACGTACAGAATATATACGTAACCATAAACCATTGTTATATCGAAAAATGATACCTACTTAGTAATGTTGTATTCTATTATAATAGGCGGGGGATGTTTTCAAATTTTCTTAGTTGTTATACCGACGGAAATTGTTGTATAATTCTGATGTACCAATACGTATATATATACACGGATATTATTTATTATACTCTACGAAGTGACAAATGTTGCTGTAGTATAGAAATTACATTCGATTATTTCTAATCACCCGCCCACGCGACCCTGATAATTATCGCGTGAAACTGACTATAATCAATATCAATTAATACTGCAGTCGGTATTAGTGATGACGGCACACATTAATATTATTGAAGCCCATATGCAAAATTTAGTTTTTGCAGTATGTTCATTATAATAATAATAATAATAATAATGTATTAGCGTTTTAATTACCATCATTATTCAATCTGTGGAAACATATAGTAATTTACCATATTTAAATTGTTTTATCTCGGTAATATGCGTATATAAAATACAATACATTAATTTGCTTTAAAAGCACCCCTGAGAAGATATCTGCAGTATATATTCATTATATAAAAACAAGACAATTTCAGTCCAGATGTTTATTGTATTGAATTGCCAAAATTTAACAAAATAATAATAACCATACAATTTGTTAACTTATATAACCGTATATTATTTTAGGTTTGAAAGAAACGGTTAAACATTAATTATGTATTTTAAAATGACAAAAAAACGATTCAATGTAGACGATTGAACAATTTTCAACAAAAATAAACTATTTCTTAAAGTTTAGAGTACCGTCTGCGTTTAATAATTATAATTTAAATATTATATTATGTATTATTGAATAAGAACATTTAATAATACTTTGCCAAAATGTGTTGAAAAAAAAAAAATACATTTTATTTTAAACTTAAAGAATAGTTCTTTTAATTTTTTGCTTAGATATTTAATTTAACATTTTTAAAGTAATTGTACATTTGAATTAGGTACCTAAGTTATTTCAACGAAGACTTAATAAACGAAAACGTTGGACCGAAGGATAAAATTCGTCGCAAACGTTCAACTGATTTCCCGTAGCCAAAAACATTGTCATGTCAAACAGTTGCTGTGCGTCATTTACAGATGTTCGATCTGAAAATGGCAAAGTTTTTCTGGGGCGTTTTTGTTTTAGTGCAAAACGCGTACATTTTTCCTAACATCTTTAACGTGCTTGCAAACTCCTTGTATATTATACAACGCATGGAACGGGGGAAAAAAAAAAAATCAATATCTTCAAATGATGTTAATCTTTGCCGTTTTTAGACCGAGTGATTGATAATCATATTTTTTTTTTTTATAGTTTAGTATACGTAATTTGTTTAAAAGTCATTGTTGAAATAAATTGTAATTAATTATTTTTTTAAACATTGTGCGTATGTGAATTTTGTATCCGGCGATAAAAGTTTAATTGACTGCTAGTAGGTATAAATAATACATATTTCGACAGTTTGAATAATGATGTAAACTGACATTTTTTAAACAATTATTATTTCCCTATATAATTGTTATTATATTAATTATAATAATATGATCGCTGTCATTCCTAATAATAATAACTAATAACCATTGTTTTTTCCTATATGGCTATGTATTCATAATAGAATAATATATACGGATCGCATAACTTTTAATAAAAAAAAAAAAAAAAAATGGCAATATCATTATGAACAAACGACAAGATAATAATGTTTCTGTGTTGACTTAGGATTATAGTGATCTTATTGAATAAAATAAAAATTCAAAATGTTTTCAAATGACATTGCAAAAAGTCCCAGTTTAATTGTTAATTTTTTTTGAGTATAATTTGTTTAGTCGGACATGATACGTCGTCCGATACACACGTCGTGTTTTTCGTCTTCAAACTTTATTTTGTTTTTTCCGTTAACCATTCCCGAATTTAATGTTTTTAATGTCGCTGAATACGGAATAAGAACAGTCATACATTGTCAAATCTTTAAAAATATTTCTTCTAAACCCAAGCTGCAAAGTTAAAAAAAACTGGTAATTATAATTAGTAAATTCAATTAAATTCACACAACAGTTACCGGCGCGCAGCCGGTGGCTACCTTATTTTCTTTCTCGTGCACCGATAATGTGAAATGGTTAATTCAAATATACAATCACCTAACAATACATCCGGTAAAATCAATCTTAAAAATAATACACAGAAAAATCGCATACAGAGCGCATCAAATGACGTTTTCTTGAATCCAACTGAAAATGATTTTGACTTCCATGCCAAGATTATGGCCACTCAACATTTTACTGCGCTCACCCCCCAAGATGTGTAAAATGCGTCGCCAACCATCCAACTTCCTCCTGCACTAAGACCAACCACCTGTATGCACCCTCTGTCAAGGAAATCACACGGCCCTCCAACGCCTTCACTACGGGAACACAATTTCAAAAACAAAAATTTTAAAACCAAATGTAAGTTACAGTCAAATTGTAAATGAGGGGGGAGACTCTTTTGTCAAAACCCAACGTGGTCCCCCAAATGTCAACGGTTCTACTTCTTTCCCAAATCTTACTTCACATTCACCCAACCAACATTATCATGAAAACAGCAAAAATATTTCTCCTAACAACACACCAAACGATTCTAAAATCGCTTTACCATTATCTTCATTTATAAACGAATTAAAACTTATATTAAACCCTCTTATTTCTTTCCTTAAAACCGTTATTAATAAATGTATGAAAGATGGACAGTAACCAATCTAACGTAAGTAAATTAAAAATATTGCTTTGGAACGTTAATGGTCTAAAGCAAAACAAAACCAAATTACTCCACCTACTTTTTCTTGAAAAACAAATCGGCATCGCCTTAATTACGGAAACCCACTGCAAACCAAACTCCAAACTCTATTTCCCAAGATTCAAAATCTACAGAGCTGACCATCCTGATGGTTCTACTCATGCAGCCTTTGCCATTATTGTATCCTTCAAAATCCAACATTATTTCACCTCCTGTAATCAGTTGCCTGCTTTCCAATCAACCACCATCCAAATAATTTTAAACCATCATCGACGATCAAAAAATCCTCAGCTTTTTTCCACCTAGTCCTCCAATCATACCACTGCAGCTAGAACATTTCTTTAAATCTCTGGGTTAACACCACTTAGTAGGCGGTGACTTCAACTCTAAACACTCCCAATGGGGCTGTATATCCGAAAACCCGGGAGGAAAAATGCTTTATATAGTTGTTAACAAAAACTCAATCAATTTTATAAGTATCAAAGGCCCGATTTACTAACCTCTTCTTAAAGATAGACATCCAGACATATTAGATTTTTTCCTCTCCAAACTATTGTTATGAGCCGAGTAGACTCAGAACGAGTTTTAAGGATTTGGATTTCAATTTAAGAAAATAAACACAATTGTTCTAGACTTAAAGTTTATTATTCACACAGACATGACATATACATAAGTACTTGTCTAACATTTGGTTACGACTGGTTGACTAGTGTACCTCGCGTGTTCTATATATACCGAAAACGAGCCTTTAATTAAGACAATTACTATTCTAAGTATATATCTGTGCTACTTTTCCTTATTACAAACTCCACTATTAATTAATTATTTACGACACAACTGATAATGTATATAATGCAACTGAGGTCTTCTGAATACAAATAGAATACTAATAACTACGTTTTGTTACACTTAGACCGGATGGTCTTTACAACACCTAGACCGGGTGATCTTAACACTACCTGCACATATAAAATACTCCATAAGCAACTTATGCAAACTTAGCTCCGACCACACGCCTGTTCTTTTAATTGTGAATAACACTCCTAAACAAAATATTCCTCACTTTTTCCAAACATTTTCTGAAATAACGCAAAACAGCACAAACCCATAATCTTCTCTCAAAACAATGATATTGAAAATACTGCCCATGATCTTACAGCTTCTATACAATCTGCAGTACATGAATTCTCTTACAATGTACATCAAACAAATCGGTCACACTTATATAAAAAAGTGTTACCTGCGCACATAGCAGATGTAATGTTTTGTTCTCGGTGTTTTGATAAAACGGGTTGGGTGTCCAGTGACGTAACGCGGGCAATGCGGGTGCGTCGGGGTCGTAATGTCCAGGCGGCCTTTTTGATTGATAGAGAGTATTTTTAATGTTATTCAACGCGGAAGCGGCAAATGTTGCCGATTTAAATGCTCAAAGAGTAGTCGAATTTCGAAAAGTCGGGTTTTTTCGGTTTTTCGCGTCACATTTTTCGTTTTTAATTTCGGCCAATTTACGCGTATACAGCGCACGTACAATAATTATAGGAATTATCGCAATTATACCACCGCCTCGGGATTCGCGACTCGATCGCGTACAATACAATATACAATCACCACTACCGTCGTCGCTCTACGCCACACGATAATAATAATGGTAATGTAACCGCGGCGCGTTACGGGGCTCTATTGTTACGGGGCGACCCCCCTTACAATATTCCGCAACGCGCGGCATCGCGTCGGAACATAACCGTGCCCGGAGGGCATTTGGCAACACTGATTGCGCCTTTGGTGGGTCCCGGCGGCGGCGGCGGCGGCGGCGACCGCGTACGGCACAGTAGCTTTAGCAACGCCGGAGTTAAGTTTTCGGCGCCGCTCATGACGTTGTGCTTTTTAGTTCTAGTCCACGCACGTCGCGTCTCTCTCCGGCCGATTTCCCCGGACGTAATGCAATCAACGTTATAATAGCGTAGTATCTCGTCTGTCAGCGTTACAAAATCATTGCCGCGTGTACGGGGTATTGCGATTTTTTTCCCGGACAACAAAACGCCGTCTTTGTACAACACCTGTTCTGCGACCATCGGCGGTGTCACGTGTACCGCGTAGAGTTCTACGAAAGATTTGAAAAAAAAAAAAAAAAAAAAAAAAAAAAAAAACCAAAAAAAAAATCTTGAAAAAACATCGGTGAGTAGCGTATACACAGCTTTACGTCTTAATAATACCGTTTACTATGTGCGACTACCGAACGCGTCTAACGTCGCGTAAATTATATTGTAATATTATTGTTTCTGTTTTTATTTTAGATTCCGAGCGTAGCGACGGGGAGCTATTGGTTTTACAATGATGTTTATTTCGTTTTTCTTTGTCCGTTGTTCTCTAGTCTGCGGACACGTTTTCGCCTAGTCAACTTGCTCCGAATTTTACGTGTAGCAACTTTTCTGAAAGCTCAAGCTGTCTAGATTGCAGACCTCTTTACAGAGGTCATTGTTTTGATTTTCGACGCCATTTTTTAAATAAGAACACTTAAGTGGGAAAAAACGTAGGAAAACGTCTAATTTCACGATTTCATTACTTTATAAAAACCCGGACGACGGTTTTCTATCGGAAAATATGATTTAATCGAAAAATCACAAGACACCTATATTGTTGTCTTTTTTTTTTTGATTTACTTTCTTACGCCAAAAATTTTGAGCCACTTTTGAGCTTTTAAGGAATTTTAATTTTTGAGGTTTTTTTTTCCCTGTAATACGGTTATAAATACACGTAGAGACTTGAAACTCGGTGATAATACTTATATTGGACTTATCTAGACGTGGTAAAATTTCCAAAATAATCGGACGAGTTTTATTTTTTTTAATAAGCGTTTTGAAATCGAATTTAAACGAAAATAAGAAAAAAAAAAAAAACGGCACTTGAAATTATGCATTACCGAACTGCGCTCGGAATGGTCTTTTGTCAAGCAATGGTTATCGTTGCTTACAGATATGTATGAAATAACCTTATGTATCTTACCTTCCCAACTTTTCACCTACAACAGTAGCCGCTCCCGTAGTATCAGCTCTTTTTTTGTTTTGATTTTACCGTTATTACAGATAAATACGTACCTACCGATATTATCGTTGGACGGGCGTAGAAACGAGCCTACATTTAAATCGCCCCGTTTCGGTTCGTTTTCGATTGGAAATTGTTCGCTACGGTGTTTTGCGCGAGAATAATCGCGCCGAAACGCCGTTACAAAATTTCCTTCCGAAAAAATAATAAAAATATTTAGCGAATTGCGATAACTGCGATAATTGCGGTTTTGGTAGGTTGTGGGATAAAAAAAAAAAAAACCCGGGACGATTCAACGCAATATTTACCACACCACATTATATTACCATAATATGTTTTATTATTATTATTATTTTGTTTTTTTTCTCGTAGTTTAGTTGAACAT